TTCGTGCGTGTGTATCATTTAGTGATGAAACTGGGGTGGGGCACTTTTTCCAGGCGTTTCCCCCACCCTAGCATGACACGGTCGTGCCCACGCGTCACACAGGTCACGTGCTTGGTCTTCTCTCCACTCCACCAGATGAGCTCTTGCCAGCTTAACCTTGTTAATTCTCCGGCCTTTTGTTCCAGGGTGCATTGAACTTTGTGGCGGAGTAATATGATCTTCATCCACCTTTGTGTTGCTTGTAGGTGTGCAGAGGTGATTATGAGCACTACTTGTTGCAAAACGATTCGAATTAAATGTAGACGATTCTATATACTTTATTATTTCTTAATAATATTTTCTGCATAGACTTTCATTGCGTAAAGCATTTTAAGATATTTTACATTATTTTACACTGGGTTTTTTTGTTCGTTTTAGCTCGTCTTTCTTTAGACCGGACGATGTTTTTTTTTAAAAGTTTTTATTATTAAACTTGTAATCTTTAAATTATCGGCAAAAGTAGATTATTTACTTTTTTAAACATCGAATGCTTACATAATCCCAGTTAAAATGACTTAACTCTTTACCCAGGCATACAAGTTTAATACAACTAAAAAGTAGATCTGAGCTCATCCAAACACCTGTTCAATCACAAGATCAACCATCATCATTTGAGCGACAGTGTCAACCCGCATCCTTCGACCCAGTATTATGTTCCAGCCGTTCACCAGGTGAACCCTGCACAAGCAAGTCTTAATCAAACAAATAGCGATTTTTATCAATGTTCAGTTAACTTCATGTAAGGTATAGGCGAGGACACAAAATGGACTATAAATAGTGTATGCCTTAAAAAGCTTATCTTGTGACATGTCTAGTTTTTATTAAAAAATTATTTTAAAAAAAACAAAAAAACTACTTTATATCGCAGTTTCGATAAACTAATTTAAAAAGAAATTAATTCAAATGATGACTGATGCGCTCATCAGTCCTCTCCATTTTCCTGTATGCCTGCGAATCCTGGACATTAACAGCCGATCTTGAAAGGAAAATAAAGGCGATGGAGATGAGATGATTCAGAAGCATTTTTGGCATCTGCAATAGGGACCATATCTCCAATGATACAGTGAAAGAAAGGGTTCGTCAGGCAATTGGGGAGTACGATGACCTACTGGTGACTGTGAAAAAAAACGCAAACTACAATGGTACGGCCACGTAACAAGGAAACAAGGGCTTTCCAAAGAAATATTGCAGGGCACCACAAGAGGAGGGAGAAGAAGAGGAAGACAAAGGAAAAGATGGGAGGGTAACAACAAAGAGTGGAAAGGACTAACACTGGGCGATGCAGTGCGTAGTGCTGAAGACAGAGAGGAATGGAGGAGGATAGTTCACATGTCATCTGTGGTGCCCAACGGTCCAAGGACTAAGGGACATGAGGAAGAAGAGAATCTTAAAACAAAACACTAGCTTATATGTCATCATTCAGCCTCTTTTCTCTACTTAAGTGTCGCTCCCTTGCTGAAATGGTAGCTATTAGACTCGTTTAAAATGTTGGCTATTATACTACTTTTGAAATGTTGGCTATTATACTACTTTTGAAATGTTGGCTATTATACTACTTTTGAAATGTAGGCTATTATACTACTTTTGAAATGTTGGCTATTATACTACTTTTGAAATGTTGGCTATTATACTACTTTTGAAATGTTGGCTATTATACTACTTTCGAAATGTTGGCTATTATTATTATACCTCGGTTGAAATGAGTTCACCGCCACCTCCTTTAATTTAATGTAAAAAAACAACGTGTTTTTTAAATGGCCACCCTCTATCATCGTTATCCTATGGAACAAAGACGACAGCTTTCTAGGACTCGCGTGAGCTAAACTTTACCCCCCCCCCCCCCCCCCCCATGGTCGAGTTGGGGAATTCACTTAGGTAGGAAGACAAAGATTGTTAATTATAAAATGAAGACAAGTTGGATTCCCCACGAGGGTCGTGCTTCTAAAGAAGATAAACCAGTTAGACCAGTGGAAGACCGTGTTTACAGGTGACCAGTCCAGACCAGACCAGCGGAAGACCGCGTGTAAAGAAGATAACCAGTTAGACCAGCGAAAGACCGTGTGTAGAGAAGATAAACCAGTTGGACCAATTGAAGACCATGTGTAGAGATGATAAACCAGTGTGACCAATGAAAGACCATGTGTAGAGAAGATAAACCAGTTAGACCAATGGAAGACCATGGTGTAGAGGTAACCAGTTGAGTTGATTGGGTGGACATTCCATCAATGTCATGTTGTGTTTAAAAACTAAAACAATGGGTTGTATACAAAACAACAACGTACAATGTATATTATAATCCCCACGCCGTCCAGCTATGCCCTCGATCCAGAGCTGAACTGATAGTTGTGATGTGTAAAAACGAAGTGTTAAAAAGTTTGTCAATACGTGCATAGACTCAGAATCATTCTCTGAATCTAAGACTTCCGAACAGGGGGCATCTTTTCACTCATATGAACTGGGGCGTTGCTAAAAGATGGGCATGGGTTTGGGGGCTTGAGGGTGTGGAGGCGTGAGGGTGTGGGCGTGGGGGAGTGAGGGTGAGGAAGGGTGGTGGGGGTGTGAGGGTGGGGGTGTGAGGTGGGGAGGCGTGAGGGTGGGGGAGTGAGGGGTGAGGAGGGGGGTGAGGGTGAGCAAGGGTGAGCTGGGGAGGTGTGAGGGTGAGGGAGTGAGGCTGAGGAGGTGTGAGGGTGGGAGTGGGGGGTGGGGGGGGGGGGGGGGGGGGGGTGGGGGGGGGGGGGGGGGGGGGGGGGGAGGGGGGGGGGGGGGGGGGGGGGGGGGGGGGGGGGGGGGGGGGGGGGGGGGGGGGGGGGGGAGGGTTGAGGAGGGGTGTGAGGGTGAGGAAGGGTGAGGTGGGGAGGTGTGAGGGTGAGGGAGTGAGGGTGAGGAGGTGTGAGGGTGGGAGGCATGAGAGGTAATCAAAGGTAGGGAAATGTAGGGGAATTGCTTTATAGAAAATTTGAGGGGAATAGAAATGCAGAGAGGAAAAATTAAGAGTAATGTGCAAGCACTTGAAAGGGGGATGTCTCACCCTTTTTAGTGCAAAGAACCAGCATGTGTGTTTGAATATCCGCTCTTGCTCCATCTAACTATTAATAACAAGAAATCTCTGAGTAGGAGGATGATAAACACCTTGATATCTAAAATAAAAGGAAGCTTTCACTGCTTGTTTAGACTTCATCTCACACAGCAGAAATCTGAAACATAGCAGCAGAACTGGACTTAATACGTGACCATTTAAGGACCACATGCTGCATGTTGGCCAACCACATGTTAGAAAACTTAAAATGTTGGGTAGAGAAATTAAAATTTATTAGAAATTTGAAACTCACTTTAAATTTACAACAAAAAAATAAAGGCTTTTAATATTGATTTGAAAATGAAACGCTGAAATTATTATGTTTACAGCATAAAGCCATTTATAGTATCTATAACAGGATTATATCAATCAACAATATCAACATTGTTACATCTGACACTATTGACTTTTCCATAAATTAGCAGAAGATTAATATCTAAACAGTCATAAACTTTGAATAAAACATATAAAGAACCAGAGAACAATAGTGTACGAGTAGCTATAAATAATTAGTTGAATTTATTAAATAAAAACAAATTCTACCCTTTATACTTGGCTCCCTTTTCAGAAAAAAAATAAAACTAGTACATCAAAAAAATTATTTCCATTATAAATTTAATTTTGCATATAAAACTTATATGAACTGATTCTGCTTTTGCTTGAGGTCAGGTTTTATTCTGTCAAACTGTAGAGCTCTTCAGGCTCCAACCCACCCATATGATATTGCAGTCTTTATCACTTTATTGTCAAAGTTGGGCCTAATGTAATTAGGTGGATATCAAGGGGGGGAGGTGGGACCGGTACAGTTATTGTTAAAAGATAAAGAAATAACATCAAAAGTGCATTATGATTAAATAAAATATAATTTACATGTCAGGTGAAGCATATGCTTCAAATCGTCAGTGACGGTGGATCCACCCGGTGTCCATGTTGTTCAGTGTTTTATTTTGTGAGAGAGGGAGCTCCCAAACCCAAGGGCTACCCTGGGAATTTCAGAGTCTAGCCACGCCAATGCCAGTTACAAGAGAGAATGTATTTCAATATCAAACAGAAAAAAAGTACCGACTTCTATTGCTTAATACCAAGTAACATTTTTACCCATATTTTATTTATACAAAACAATTTTCTTGATTTCAGATGTCAATTTTTTACAAATTAAATCTTAATTATATAAACAAAAACACACGATGTCATAGATTCATTAAAGTTACAAAAAACAGTTTTATTGGAATTGAATGACAACAAATGAATTATAGCTTTCACCATTTTTAGAGTGATCCATTGCATTGCCTCTTCATTCCTATAGTATAGTACTTAAAAAGTAAATTAAAAAACATGGAAAAATAAATATATTTTAGATTTGTAAATATATATAAAAAAATTGTAGTTTAATATCATCAGACATTCATTTTTTATATTGTTTTACCGGTACCATAAAAGTGACTTTAAAAAAAATAATTTAAGACAGACAACCAAGGATTAAATTATTCCAACAAAATGAAATAAGACTCATTACAACAATATCAATTCCACTAAATACAATAAAATTAACAATTAATATCATTTTCTTTATTACTAAGACTACTTAAGTCAAGTAGAATCTTGTTTTTATCAGTCAAATGATAATGTTTCAGCAGTGGCACCTGAATGTGTTCTTAAAAACATATTTTGTGTGAGTAATATCAATATAATTGTGTTTGTAAATACAAATATATGAAAAATATTATGAGTGCAATCTTATATGGTTGCTGTTAATAAATTAATTCATCACAGTTGACAAAATTTAAGCAGTGATCTCAATATCATAGTAAATCATATGTAAAGGAATCAAAAACTAACAAAAAATATCTTTCAAATATAATAGAAAATAAAAAGAAATTTAAAAGCCTAAATCAAAATATAGCTTACACATGTATCACATTAGACTTATAGCTGTTCTAAGATATTTTGAAACTTGGCAACTCTGTGTAAAATGTTTTTTTAGGAACATCCAGGGAGTTAGCTCAGCTTTGTGTAATTAGTCTTCCTCATATTTACATGTGGGCCATATTGTTAAAAGCAAATGCCTTAAAGAGAAAAAAAAAAACTTACCCAGGTGGAATGGACTTATTAGACCAGTAAGACACCTATTCTTGGGAAAAGAAAATGTTAATGAAAGACTCAGCTACTGCAGACAACTGCCAACATAGAGTGGGATTAAAATTGTATGTCTATGGCTTCCAAACAAATTGGCAATGCAGTTATCATTGTTGAACACAACAAGGTAACATTTTTTAGCTATAAGTCACCATAAAACTTTGGGGGCGGGTGAAGAACTTCAAAGAAAATATGTGGTTACCAATTTCATGATGACCAGTGGTCTAACCATATAACCCAACCACAATATTCAAAGTGTGTGAAAAAAAAAATTATTTAAACAAAAGCAGCAGAAAATACACATGTAAAATTATATAATTGTGGTTTCCAAGTTAATAAACAGAGAATTACAGTGTAAAATTTGAGCAGCACATACCTTGACATTGCTTTATATAAATGAAAACAATTATTAATTTTAAAATATTTATATATACCAATAAAACACAAACCCAGTTCTCTGTGAAAACTTCTGTAGTTCTCATGACAAAGGGGAAGTATCTTAACTGGACTTCAGATAATCAGCTTTATTAAATTGTCTCCCATTTTATTTTACAGAAATTGTAAGGGGTCTGGTAGTGTTGGCTTTCAAATCTCCTAAATCTCACAATAGTAAGAACTGTTGAAAATCTTGCTGGAGACAGGAACAGGTCCATTCATCTAATCATATATTTTGAATATCTGCTTTGAGCCTTTTCTTTTCTTCTTTTCAGAGAAGAGGCTTTGGTCCAATTTTTTTACTCTTTAAAAATTAATAGAAAATACTAAATTACATTAAAAGATTACCCTTGATATTACATCTTCATATTGAAAGATTTTGCAAATGAGATCTTTTAAAAAAAAAATATTGATATGAATCAATGAACCTTTTAACATAAACGTTTCTACATTTTAGAGAACACATTATGCCTCTGGGAGGCATCTGTTCTGTGTCGTTTTAGGTGAAGTCGAGCTTTTTGACGTCGCCTCGTATGGCTTGACACTTCCTCATTGTCTGATTGGCTGTCAGAGCCTGTGCCATGGGATGGACTCAGGTTCACATTGAAAGTGGAGGTTGCTCTGGGGGAGTATATAGTGGTAGGGATTTCCTCCTCATCAGAATCCATGGGAAAGTAATTTAACCTCTGAGAGAAGCTTGGGCTTTTTGGCTCACCAGTTCCACTCCAGGCAACACCTCTCGGGGTGGTAGTCACCTCACGCATGGGTGGGTTTACATTCAGACTAGAATGTCTTTGAGGCGGTGACTGGTTTTCTTCATCAGACATCAGATGTTCTTTGGCATGGTGCCCTTTTTTCACCTCATCCGCCACGTCGATGTTGAGTTTTTTCTCTTCACTAATGGGTGGCATGTCCTCGTTTCTCTTCTTCCTACGGTGCTTGTGCTTATGTTTGTGCTTCTTTTTCAGCTCTGTTGAGTCCTAGGATGCAGATGGTAATAATTAACATGGTGGTGTTATGAAATATGCTCATTTTAAAGTTAATCTCAGTACCCGGTAATTACAGTAATCTGCTGAGACAAATCATGATATTTTATTGTACAAACAATGTTTAAAAATACCACCCCCTTTCATAAAATTTTTTAAAAAATGCATCTCGTAACAGAATGCTTCACAAGGTTATATACATCATAATTACAGTTTGGACTGCTTCAAGTAGATCATTCTGCTCAGCTGCATTGACAATCTCTTCAACCATTGTTGGTGCTTTGTTGAGTTCCATTCCAGGTATGATGTTGTGTTGGTCAGACATCAACTCATCTTCTATAACTCTGGTCAGTTCATCCATTCTATAGGGAAAAATCATTGAATTAAGTCATCCTAAAAAAAATCTAATATGTTAGAAAAATTACAGAAATTTCAAAGAAATGTTCAATAGGAACTTTATAAATCAAAATACAATTATTACTCATGTATGGTAAAAAAGTATCAAACATAGACCATGTTGTGGTGTAAGATTATCAAAACTAATATTTTTTATCTGAGACTTGATAAAAAATATTTAATCTTCTTAAACTCTAAATATTTTACCCAAATGGATAGATTGGTGGAATACTGACTGGTAGAGTAATTCTTGCTAAATTCTTGTTCATTCTAAATATGTTTAACTCTTTCACAGCACAGTGCGTTCATCTGCCGTTCTAAAAAGCACGGACCAACTCTCTCTGCTTTGTTTCAATATCATGTTTGTTTCTTTGCTATTTCTCGGTTACACTTTTTAAGAGCTATTTTTAAATAAGATTTTTTTCCACTGTTGCTGTGGCTACCCTAAGTCCTAATGGGTGAGTAAGTTTACTAGACGATTAACAGCGCAAAAAGCTTTGGAATTGTTTTATACTATTTCTTTTGATAGTGAAGATGATTTATGTTTAGTGATTCCCATAGTAGTAGTTTTAGAGGATTTGAGTTATGGAAGAGAAGATGATGTATGGGCACATCATAGAGTTTGAGGAAAAATGGTTTTGCTCATAATGTTTTCACATTTTATGGTTCTTTTCTGTTATTTATTTTATTTAAACTGAAGAATTAAGTTTATAAACATATTGTCCATTCAATTATCTTTCATTTGATACCAAATTTAGTCTTATAAACAACACAATAATATTGTTAATATTTTTTAATAAACCCAGCCCCTCATTCCTTTTTGCTCTTTAACAAAAATATACATTTTTTTTTACAAAAAATTTCAGCAGCAAAAGAGTTAATTTAACATGAGAACACAAATAAGAAACAGAATAATGTTATGTAATCTTTGTAATTTATAGGGAAAATCAGCCATCTTTCAATACTGGTCATAAGTTTGCTTACCTTGTTTGTAGTATGTGAAATTTCATGTCGATTGACTGTAAGATATTTGCCTTGACAGCTCTCAACTTATTAGCCATCATCTCCTTCTCAAAGACTGACAAGAACTCCAAGTGATGTTTTAAAAACTGCTCAGCTGATGAATGATTAAATGATACTGTCACATTTCTGCTACAAAAATATTTTTCAAACAGGGGCTTTGGCTAAGGTCCCACTTCATTAAAAAAAAAATACCATCTATTTATAATATATCACTCATTTGTTGATGAATAATGGATCAGGTATAGAATTCCAGTTCGTAACATTTTGAATTATCACAATTTCTTTATGAGTGCTTAAAAACATAAATTGTATCCCCTCACACATGAAAATCTCATGATCCCATCAAAACACTCCCACTAAGAGTGAAACTAACATTTGAAAAGTTCCTAATCCATTCCTGGTTTTTTCTGCGTTTTGTTTATCTATTTATGTTTTTTTTCGTCCTTAAAATAAGAAAAATCAATGGTTTCCCAGATCAGTGATTTTTAAAAATTTATTATTATTAAAATTTAAAGAATAATTTTAAAATATAAACAGTTATAGTAAAAGGAGCAGAGAAAGATGTAATTTTATTTTAAAAAATGTCATTAAACCAATAAAAACACAAATCTATCAAGACTTACATTTCACTTTTTTCTGATGAGACACTTTTCTCCAAATGTATCTGACAGCATATAGGAAATATGAGAATATACTGAAAGGAGGGAATAACAAAGGTCTGTTTTGGAACTCCATCACAAGAAAGTACATCTGAAACTTCCAGATCTCAATGGCATTATTTTCAACTGTGTCAAAAACATGGCTGAAATGTAAACAAAGAAATTGTCTTTAAAATATACTGTTTCTCCTTATAAGTTTAAATGTTGTACTTCTAAAATACAAATACTGAAAGTAATAATTTATCGCCTCTTATATAAGAAAATTAGTATCTGGTCAACTTTTTAAACAGCATTTTGAATTACAAAAGTAGAAGAAAAAAAAAGTTTTAATAAAATCAAGAGATTTATCCCCATTTAATATCTATACAAGAGCTATTGTCATATCTTTAGAGCTGTATAAAGATGAACAAATAAAGTCTAATAACCTGAAAATAGCGATGAGCAAATTCAACAATAAGACATTTCCGACCAACAGATACATGGCTAGTAACAATGGGACTAGCCAGTGAGAAGTCCGACATGTGTTCAACTCATCAGGCAAATCGTTTGAGCCGGTTATGTTCAATGTGGCTGTCAAAGAGGCTTGACAAACGCTATCGGCTGAAATATGTTAATTAAGGAGATTTTAATAGAAGAATCTTGGAAATTATTGATTTAAATGAGACAACTAATAAAAACTGAAAAACAAAACGGGCTCTAAGAACCGAGAAGTGAATTTAACTGCTTTCAATGGTATGGGGTAAGGGCTAACAAAAACACATGAAGGCCAACCTCCTTGAGCACGAATCTGGTAAAAATATCACATAGAAATCTTAATTATTTAAATAGTTATACTGTTCTTCATATTTAAAAAAAAATGCAATGAGTATTTCATCAATACATGTGATTAGCTCTTTTGCATTAAATTTTGTTGCATGAGAATGTTTCTTTGACACTAAGGGTATCCATAGATTCTACAAGCTTTAGTTTATCAAGACAAAAGAAGCTGCTCAATTTACAGTTCAGCTTTTTTTTTTATTTTAAAAACTTACTCTCCAATTCATCAAAAAAAATCTCCCCAAACAGCTGCCAGTAAGGGAAGTACAGTATGTCCTTCAGAATGATCCAGTCTTTGTTCCTGTTTTTATACAGCAAGCCTTGACTTGCTACACCATAGGCCAGCAGGAACACCATCAACACCATGACAAACAGGGCCAGCTCAACAAGCTGCCGAACAGAGGGAAACATTTTAAACTTGGATACAGGGTTGGAGCTAGTTAAAAGTATTATCTTCTACAATACAACAAAATTTTTAAAACATGTATGGGATCAGCGATGGACTCATGCAAAACGAAGCTCTGTGGTAGGTCACTCTGTGCCGGTAATTCTGAGCTTTTGAAACCTTCACCTCCATCAAATATTGTCATAAATAAGTTTTTGAAATAAATTTAATCAAGCTATTGGCAAACCTGAAACAACTAGAAAAGGGGACTAGAAAATAAATCCCTTGCAGTGCAATTTTTCAAAGTGATCCATATCCCTATGAAATTGTAAGTGCCATAATTAAAATATTACAATCATTATACATTTTTGTACAACCCATTAATTTCAATTCCATTTTTAATTGAACAAAATCCCTAGATCAACAAATTAATTAGCAGAGGCTAAAAATATATCAATGACCATGTCTTCATCTTAATAACTAACCATGCGATTTATCATGTAAATTTTGGGCCCCAGTCGTCTGTTTGCTGTGTAGAGTTTCATCACACGGATATAAAATATGACAGCATTCACGCAGTAGATCACTTTGGCATCATACATTTGGAACCAGCGCAAGATAAAAGCAATGATGGCCAGGAGGAGGTTCAGGAAATCCAGCCTGTCCATTACACCAAAGAAGTCCCTCCATTTACCAGAGAATGTCGGTGAAGGAAACACAATGAACTGCAAAGGTTTTAAAAAAAAAAAAAATTATAATTAAACTTGAGCTATTCTCACCCTTAAATGTGGATCCTCTTTTTTTATTGTTAAAAAAGAATATATAAGTTTGTTAAGTGACATTTCTCTTTAAGAATTTAGCTTAAAATGCCTGTTTACATAAATAGTGAAAAATACTAATAATCATGCCATTACTACTACTACTACCACCAATAATAGGAATAATAATAATAGGTAAATAGTTTTTCGTTATTTGTAGTTTTGAGGTCGTCTTTGTTTTAAGATTAGATAAGATAAGATAAGATTCTTTTATTGATCCAAATAAATGGAAATGTTTTTTGATTGCATAATACATTTTCAGCACAAAAATAAAACAATTTGAACACAAGACATTTATAATAAATTATTTCTAACAGCCATTCAGTGAGTTCTCTTAGCAAAATCGTGGACTTATTAGTTCTCATTCAGATGTGTGACTTCAGAGGAAGCACGCCGGTAAATTCGTACAGATTGGGGAACAAAAGAATTTTTATATCGGTCAGTCCTCGCCCTGATGGAAAGAATTTGTCCCGAACGGCCCGATCCTAAGTATCTAGGATGAAGAGGGTGGGATGTATCATCCAAAATGTGTTTAGTTTTGCAAAAACATCTTTCTTCAAATAGTTCTTCAAGTGTAGGATGTTTAGTTTGTGTTATGTTTCTAGCTTTCTTGATTAGTAGGTTTATGCGGTGTTTAATTTCAGACGTTGAATTCCCACACCAGCAGGTAATACTGAAATTAAGCAGGCTTCCAATAGTTGCACTGTAGAATAAGTTAATGACTTGCTTGTTTACGCCAAAATTGTACAGTTTTTTGAGGTAGAACAGCCTTTGGTTGAATTTCTTATACAGGATTTGGCCGTGCTCATGCCATGTTAGCTTATTATATCATTCATCTATAAACAATACTGTTGTTTTTTTATATTATGCTATAACAATTTTTTAGCAGATGAGAGGAATCTTAATTCTAGTTAAGATAGGACTGCACCTCTCTAACAATAAAAACGGATTGAAATAAATTTCATACCAATATTTTAAGTTGTTAAATAAAGAAATTAGATCAAACGTACCGAATGGATACCTCCAATAATAAAGCTGATTATCCAGATCAAAATGATCCATTCAGTTGGTGATGGATTCTCTCTAAAATCTACCAGGATCATGTAGGTGAACAAACCAAGGAATGCCAAGTAAGCCGCCTGCAATATTTATGTTTTTTTATAGTTGTAGTGAGAATAAAATATTAATGTTCAAAAATGTATGTGAAGGGTATTTTTAACTGAGACCTTTGTAATATAACAGTACAGTAGAACCCGCTTATGTCAATGGCCTCGGGGTTTGCCAAAAAAGCGTCAAGATAACCGCTGATCAAGATAACCGAAAACCAATAGGGCGGCAGTATATTAACATGTGTTTGAAATTTCTTTATGTACATCATGTGCGTTAATAAATGCAGGTACTTCAGTAAAAAGAATAAATAATAATTTTTTAAAAATATTACAGTTATTTAGAGCAAATTTCAAATTAAAAAAATGAAACCAGAATCAGCTTTTTAACTTTAGTACTTTTTGAGCTTTTTTTTTTTAAAGTGCGAGTTGGTTTGGTATTTTCTACTATGGATGAAGCCTTCAAATTTTGTGACCTGATTCTGCTGATTGAAATGACAATGTAGTTTATGTAAGGCATTGCATACCCTTATTACTAAAATATTATTAGGGGCTACTTATTTTGAACTTTCAACTTTGGCACATGACTATTTAATTAAAGCTTTTCCTGACCAATATTTTAATAGCCTTTTCACATTGCAAACTCTTATGAATGAAACTCTGACATAGTACCATGGCATAGCCATTATGAAAGTGACTGTGAATCACTGCTCATGTCAACGTTTTGCGCATGGCTAATTATGATCATTTATAATGTGGACTACCGCGTTTTTAAGCCTTGAATTGAAACATATTTATTTAAATTACTTCTAGGTTCATTCTAAAACACAAGTCTTGTATTTTGAGGAATAAATAATTATTTTTAATTATGAAAAAGGTGTTTATTTTTTGTTTGCTATTTCTTCAAAAGCTGGCGATTGGTCATAGGGATCAAGATAACCGAAATTAAGTGGCAAATTTGGCCGCCTTTTGTGCTCGAGATATCAGGGTTCGGTGACATAAAAGAAATCGACATAACCGAGGAGAAAATGCTGTGACAAAGAGAGAATTTGGCGGTTCCACTTCAAAAACATCGACATAACAGGGTTGGCGAGTTAACCAAGGTCAAGAAAAGCGGGTTCAACTGTATCGAGGTAAAGAGAGTAGAACATACTATAGTCATATTAATTACCTACAGATATTGTTGTCAGTTTAATATTCTTTATTCTAAACAAGGTTAATCCAACAATGTATGATTTTTAAAAAAAAAGACTGAAATAAAGATATTAAACTTACAGTATACATGGAGAATTTGGTCAAAGGTGCAGAGTAGAATGTAATTATTTTCTGAAGTTTCGACTTAATTTCCTGTCCAAACAAGCTTATGTCTATGGCTAAGATAAAAGGGGGTAGGATGGCTCCACAAAAAACCTGTCAAAAAAAATGTGCACATTTACATTTTGAAGCACATAATGACATAATATAAATCAAATCTAAAATCTTTCAAATCTAAATGTCAGAAAAGAAAAGTATTATGACAAATGTAATGTAGCCAAGAAGTAGAAATGAAATACCAAGCTCATTTCAAGTAGGCAGAGCAAAACTCAGAGCGTTAAAAATTTTATAGAAACATTTACTCAATTATATGATTATAAACATATATCCAACTGATTGTAAAAGTACACCTGGAAAGTCAAATACCTCAAATTTATAAAAGTGTTACCTTTGGCCAGCTGGCTTCTATACCATTTTTCCAGACGTTGTTGATGGAGTTTTGACAGGCTACCGATGAAACAAAGGCCTTGGAAAATATTGTTTACATTATTACAAAATTATCCATTCAGTCTAGGCAAGGCGAGTTTAATGATAATCCAACTGTATATTTTTCCTCCGATTATATTAATGTTTTAAAAAAAGCTGTATGAACATGCAGTTAGTAATTTTGTAAGGAGCTGTTTACTTGAATTTTTAAAATATTTATCTTGAATAATTATTTTTCATGCAAAATAGTGTTATTACTTGCACAGAAAATTGTAAAAATTGACTGACCTGGTCTGATGCTGATGCTGCGATTTGCAAGCAAGTCATGCCACCCCATGTGGGTGACTTTCGTTGTATCAACATTATTGATTTGTCCGGATCAACATTGTGACACTCGTTCAGTACACTAATGGCCAGTTGTTCAAACTCACTGAGTTCAAGATTAAAAAACAAAAAGTAAGCATATTTTTATTAAGCTGCAAAAATCTCATTGGGTAAAAATTTGTTTAACATTTTTGATTACAATTTTTTTTGAAGTAGAATATTATAATTCTGAAATAGAATTAATACTCGATCATTTTTACATTAAGCTGATAAGATTTCTACTTGTAAGTCTTAAAGATAAATAATATAGTTAACTAGGCGACCTGCGGCACGAGCTTGTTGGGGATATATATATATAGATATAGCCCGCCAAACATTGGCGACAGCAATGAGTGAACTTCCCATCTACTAAAGTTACTTGACAAAAATGTGAACTCAAGTTACGCACATTTAAGAATGCCAATTTTGCTCCCCCCCCCTCCCTCCCCCCCTTTCATGATACGTCATGGCACACTTTTTATTTCACGCCGACCCGCGGCTTAGCATACGCTGCGAGCTGGCTGGCAAGCGAGGGTGGCAAGGGAAGGGATGGTTTGCCTGCGTCTTGTTTGCTCTGGCGTATCTATATATAGCCTGCGTGGTCTTGGTCATTTTGTTATTTGCCTTACTTCTTCTGGCGAATTATATATATAGATAGCCAATAAATAATATAGTTAATAGCCTATCAACTTCTGGATGTGACAAAAAACATGATTTATATTATTTTTTTTAAATAGAAAAAGTCACTTTGTTAAAAAGAAATTATTCATTGATGGTTTTTCTAGAGAATCACTTCTAACAATAAGATTATGAAGGAGAAGCCTTGAATCTTAAATTCTGAATTTTTGGTGTCAGCAGTCAGTATGTTCTCTAAGTCATCACAAGTTTCATCCATTTAGAAGGCATTTTTATCTCTGCGCTCTTTAAAATAATCTGATCCGTACTGCATTATATTATATACATTATTAATTACTGTGCTGTAGAATTTAATTTTTTTGCCATCAGAATCAAATTTTAATACCGCTGAACTGTTTTTATTGCTGGGTGCGAAGAAAAAAGCTAACATTGTATGCAGGCCCTAAGTAAGATACTTACTCTTTCATAGCGTGGAAACTGTTTCTGACAATTGTCAAATACTTGGGTACTTTAATTTCCATTCTGTGACACAGCACAGTACAGATCAGTGCACTGGTGATGGGTTCTGAGCCAAGTTCCCAGAACAGTTGAGCTAAATTAAATCTATATTTATAAAAAAAATATATTAAAAAATTAAAAAGGAATTTATAGATGTACTTGCAATTTAAATAACATGCCTATTCGATCATGTTGCAATTTTGTGAGGTTTTCAAAAAATATAGGAAAAATTATCTGTTAAATGTAGTGGATGACAATAATTTATATCACATTATTTAATACCTGGCACCTCATAATACAGGGACCATAGCCAATTTTACAGCTGTTCTATAATCTATATCTTATGCTCACAGACTCCATGGAAAGAAGCTGCAGACTGATTATAAATTACCATACTGACCTGTCCATAAGTATGGCCCAAATCAAAAGCTGCTTATATGGGCGTTTGAATCTATTGGGTTCCTGTCTATTTTCTGAATCAGATTCAATGTGTGGAACTATCATGCTTGATGCAATTTTGTTCACTCCTTTTGGTTCTTGATCTCCAGGTTTTGAAAATGTGTCGTTATCAAAACGGTCCAAGAGTGATCTTGTGAATTTCTCTATTATATCAACATTGAATTTGTCTTCTTTGGCAAAATTCTTCAAAATGAGATACAAGTAGCAGTGTTTGGGCATCTGGAAGTGAAAAAAAAAAATAAATAGAAAAATATTTTTTTTCCGAATGAAGATTATCTATTTTAACTTGATGTGGCTTATACAATGATATCATTGCATTTGTTTTTTTAATGTGCATTTTATTTAAAGATTAAATTGAGCCTGCTTCTTGTTCAAATTTTGTTATCGGCTAATAAAAAAAGGAGTATTATCATAGAGGTAGCAATGATTCAAGTTGATAAATGGTAGAGCTTTCAAAAGCATTTAATTTAAAACTTGAATATTAAAGTTTTGTGAACATTTAAAAAATTATATTTTTTTTGTTCCATTAGCTTTTTTAATAATTTTCAAATTTAATGTGATGTGAACTATGATTTAAGCAAGGAATAAATTATACATTCAAAATATGACATTACTGAGTTGTAGAGATGCTCCAGGCGCTGTATAGTCAGGTATTCTTGCATGATAATTCCATTGTTCAGCATCAGTTTGACAAAATCCACTTTGTTCTCAACAAGGGCTTGAGTTAAAAATTCTTCCAGGCTTCCTGGGAAAATTATTTAAAAATAAATAATTTCTTGTTAAAAAAATATATTTTTCTATTGCTAATAGTGAAAATGTTTGTTGCATTTTTAAAACTGAGATTATTTAGATTAGCATTTTTTAAAATATACAATTTTTAAAATAACACTTTTATTAGTATTAAGATTGAGAACCTTCTTTCCATATGACATCCTCCCTGAAAATTTCTTCTTGTGCAATGTCAGCACGGTTCCAAGTTAATGCAAGCTTCAGCTGGTTCTCAAGTGAGGAATTGGTTTTAACTAAAATGAATGGAAATAAATACAAACAGTATTTGAAAACTAGGATGTTGGATGAAAATGTGTAAAAATTAATATATAAAAATATATTTAAATTATAAAAATTTTTATAACCCAAGTATATTGTATTAATTAAATTTACAGAATTAATGAAGTGCTTGATGACAGTAACAATTCAGTTGAAACTGTCCAAATATATTGTTAAAAGTTTGGAAAATTGCTGCAAATTTATTTAAAACAGTTATTTTATTCTGAAAAATCTTCCTTCTTGTATTTACAAGAGAGACTATTCTTTTTTTGTATTTACTAATTTCTTTTTACAGCTCACCTTTGAGCAAAACTTTCAAAATGGCCAGGTCCAGATCTTCATGCTTGTTCATGTTAAAAACAATTACCTTAAAAAATATATATAAATATATATTATTTTAATATAACTACCGGTAACTGTATTGAATGTAAAACGGTAAATATAAAAGTTATAATACTGATTCAAATAACATTATTATAATAATGAAGTAAAACTAAAAATTGCTTAACTTTTAAGGGGATGTTTTTTATGAATTGAAAAATGTTTATATTTCATTCATCTTTGCTCTAATGCTGTTTTCTGTAAGTGAAAACTTGCTCCCTTTTAAACTACACAATTATTTTAATTAAATTATGAATTGTAACCATTAACACAAAGTGAGATTGGAAATTTTTAAAAATGAAAGTGTCTCCACTGTAGAAGCTCAGTAGCAACATACCAGATCTTCTCTCTGGCAACATCCCATCACTTTTTCCTTGAGACTTTCCAACTCTTCTTTTTCCTTTCCAGGTTTCAAAGTTGTCTTGTAGGCTGCATAAATCTTACGTGCCAGTTTGTCTTGATGAAAGTCTGACATACTTCTGGTAGTACTACAAGACATGAAAAAAAAATTGTTTAATCACTAACTAGCTGTGAAGCTTTTCCTACAGCAGAAAATAATTTAGAGAAAACAAAAAATATACATACATTTGATTTCATCATCATTAATTACGTGTCCAAAATATAGAAACCATTTTTGAATTTAACTTGAAATATGCATATTTAAGTCCAAACCGTAAACAATGCAATTAAACAATTAAACAAACAGAATTAGACAACATAATAACATAAACTGAACGTTTTAGAGATACAGCCAAGCAAACAACATACTTTTGAGTGATGGTGTTTTTGAAAGCATATGCAAGAATGTCAGCAGCACGGCCTGTGCCAGCACACACTACAACAGGGATACCCTCTGCTAGAGACACACTGACATCCTGAATGGCATCAGTACCGCCTTCCACTAGCAGTAGAACTAGTGGTATACCAAGACCCCCTTCTGAAAACGTAAACCAAGTCCACGAAATAATTTTTAAACATTACAAAATATATTAAAAGTTTTCCTAAGTGATTTTTTTTTTTAAATCAAAGATGTTTCAGATAATTATATATAAGACATTTTTTTTAACTAACTGAGAAACATACCACTTTTTTCTGTTGCAATTTTTCTCTCAAATTTAGAACGAAAGTCAGCCACTCCTCCATAGCGGTACCTATAACCATCATCCACAAATATAAAGTGGGTGTGATCAGGGTTCAATGGTACAGGTTGTTTGTGAAGAATTTGATTGCTTGTTCGATAAAAGGCATTGAATTTTCCCTGTAACAAAAGATAAAATTTGGGGATCATGATAGCAAATGACAAGCCTTAAAAAAAACTACCATGTACATTCCCGTTAGTAAATCAATCTAACTAATGAAGTCAGACAACAAGAAACAATCCAGTCAGTCTACTTAACCTAAACCACTAGTTTGACAACTTTTATCATGTTCTCATATTCCATACTTACTTGTCCATTATAGCTCTCCAAAACATGTCTCCCTTTAACATAGCCCCATGGGGCAATACCAATGCACCTCAGTACATGGTTCATCCTGTCATTGTCCCATTGGAAGGTTTGGCCTTCGTGCACAGCCTGTCCAACAGCTTTCATCACTCCCATGTTAAACCCGGATGTAATCAGCCAAGCATTTGTTGTTTTTGCGGCCTAAAAATCGTGGAAATTAAAATTTCATATACATCAAATACCCAACTTAATAACAAATGTATTAATCATTTTTTATAAATATATACAGTTAGGAAAGAAAATAATGTGAGCAAATTTGAATCTTAAAAGGAAAATTGTGAATAAAATTGTTTACATTTCATGAATGATTCATTTAAACAATTTTAACTGAAATTCAAGTAAACCTCTATTTCGCTTTTTTTTTTTTTTAATTTTTTATACTGGAGGATTAGTTGCTTTACTATTAATTTAATTTAAAAAGTAAATACACTATTATAAAAGGGAAAGACATAATATTGCAACCCAACAGAGATTTTAGTGTATACTTTTTCTGAAACTAAAGTTAATGTTAAAAGCAAGGAGGTTTCATTCAGTTTAAGTGTCAGCAGTAATTTACTTTTATTAAACCTATTGTAAAGGTGTCCCTCATCCTTCCATCTAATTTAAAATTTTTGGCTCCACCAACAACAGAGATAACAAGATGAGGTGGTTCTGGATTCATCATATGCCAAAAGTTTTTCATCAGCTCCAGACAATTGTCAACATTATCACTGTCATCTGCACAGATTCTGATATACTGAAACAATATTTAGTAATGTTAAAAATCGTATTGATAAAAAAAAAAAAAGTTTCAATAGCTAAAAGAATTACCAAATTAATATCAATCTACAAAAATTATTTGTACCCCTAATGTCAATATAAAAAAAAAATTATTTTTTTTTTATAATTTTACCTCAAAATTCTAAAATTGGTGATGAGTTAACGAAAATCTTGAACAAAAACTGTTGATAGCATTATGATATTTGTAATTAAATTGAACATCTTTTATAAGTTTTGGGCATTTTGAAAATAGTTTTTAAACATTAAATTATTCCTATGGTAGTTTATGTGAGAATTAACTTCCAATAATTAGTTTTAAATTTTCTCAACAAAATTTAATGTGGAACTGATTGAATTCTTTACCTTTGCAGGTTTTTTGCCTCCCACCTGCTCCACATTAAATTCAATTTTTCCAAACGCATTTGTTGGACTGACATAAAAACATTCAGCTTCCTTCCACTCTCTTGATGAAGTTGGCAGAGGCTCAGTTAGGATTTTTTCTAGATTTCTGAGCGCTGTGTCATACTCTAAATGTTGACATGATGAAAGAATACAAGCAGTCAAGCTACTAAAACTCTGGTGAGATATAATATATTTCAGGAATAAGTCAGTTTTTAAACAGGTAAATTTAAAATGCATTTCTGTTCTTGTAAAAGATGAGTTAATAATTCACCCTGATCAATGTTAAGTATAAAGTAATTCATTCAATCATTCATTCATGATGTGCCTTCTGACTATATCCAAGACTCTTTTGGAGCTGAACTTAGGGTCATATTTCCATTCCATATATTTCAATGAATCTTCATTTTTTTTGTCCCTGGGCTGTCTATCTCAGTTCTGCCCTACAAAGTGGTTTGGTGGCCTACTTAAAAAAAATACTTTGTAATGTTTGCCTCTCTTGATGAGCAATTCAGTTCTTTACTGGGGATTGTTTTATGCCAGATGACTTCTTTCTTATATTTTGTTTATTTGATTCAATTTCCATTCTGCCCTCCTGATTTTCATATATCCCAGAATGACCTCCCCTCTTCTGTTGAATTTATCAATTATTATTTATGTGTTATTATCTGCATCTTCAGACCCAACCCTAACAGATAATTTTGACAGCCTGGAGGTTCATCCCAACCTAGAGTAATGGTTAATTAATTCACTGGACAGTGTTCAGATTACATTCATTGACAGGGGTGACAAGTTCGGGGGGAGGGGAGCTTACCAGTGAAGCTTACGTTACCCTATCAATCTACTTTATCCTGACTAAGACTTGGAACAGGATGTGCTGGAGTTTTATAAAATAATTATGGATAAGCTATATGACATTAACAATTTTTCATATCAATACATTTAACTCTAACCTGGTGGCAGAAGAAACCGATTTTCATACGGATGAATGGGTGACTTTAACCTCATTCCTGCATGCAACATTAGAACTTCTCCACAGTGGCATCTAACAAAACAAATAGTTGAATTACTTTAATAGTTTTAATATAACTGCGGGTACTTTGCAATAGTATAAGTGTTTAACAGCTATAGAAAACTTTACCTTGGAAAATTATACTAATGGGTCTTATTGGGTTTATCTGTCAGGGAGTCTGTAGAAAACGTCTTTCTTTTTAGTTTCACATCTATTCTTTGTTCGCCCATATTTAATCCCACATCAGAAATATTTCTATTAAGCCCATATCTCGGGGCTACTCCAGACTAATTTGAGCCTGCTATTTCTGGCAATGAGGCAAATGTGATACCATTGTCTGACAAGGCATCATGGGAAAGGACTTAATTTTTAAGTTTCCCTATAGAAATTGTGGCTGTTTAAAATTACCTTACATCGGTGGAGTTGAAAGTCAAGTTGAATCACATAATTTTCAAAAATACTTACTTCAAATGTTTTGCTTTTATTTGTTTATTATCTCCACACTGGCCAGGAACTGGTACAAAAATTCTGCACTCTTTTTGCCGAAATTTATCTTTTATGAAGGCAATTTGCAATTCCTTCCTCTGTAATGTAAAAGAGATTTTTTAAATCATAAAGAACCTTTATATCATGAAATCTTTTATTTATAATCAAGAAATTATTTTAACTTACGAAGCAAGTAAATAATTGAAAACGTGCCCTATTGTTCAAATACACAATTTTTTAAAAATCGAGATCATGCCCTATTGTTCAAATGCACAATATTTAAAAACCAAGATCATGAATTTTGTTATTAAAACTTGATTATTTTTTAATAAAGACCTAGCACTTATCTGAGCCCCCAAGTGTCACTGATGTTTTTTTCAGAGTGATATCACTTATTTTATTATCATTCACTTTAATAATATTTGACCCCAAATAAATCAACCCCAAAATTTGTTTGACTGATGTTTGTGAAAATGTAAATCTTTAGAAAATATATAAAAAAACTCTGTGGATTTTAATTAGCCCAGACTTTGCTTCACATTTTTTCAAATTTAGAGTTTCAATTAATGTTAGGTAGTATAAGTTATAACCATCATAATTATTTAAAATATTATGCATAAAGTACAGTGATAATTCACCAAAGAAACAAGATGAAACATATGTTGATGTGATGATTTCTTATTACCTTTTGATATTCATCATCTTGAATAGTCTCTCGTTTTTGTTTTAATCCCATTTGTCTTTGACGACCTGTTAAATAAGCTTTTTCAAGTGTTGATTTCATTCCTGAACTTTGGGAGACATTTTCTGACAGAGCTGATTGCATTGATAGTGAAGTGGCTCCAGGTCCAACACCAAATGATGATGGGTGGACCCGTATGGCTGACGAAGACATGGTTTTTATTTGCTACCAATCAATTTAACTGTCATCGATTTTGTAGACAGAAGCCATCTTTTCTCTGCATTTTCTAAGGAAAAGAAAGTAACAAGTTTTTGTGTGTAAATGACAGAATAATTTTCAAATTGGCAAATGGAAGCTTCATCATGATGTACTGTTTTTACATACTAACTGACCCTAGAAAAATTTATTATTACACAATAATTTGAAACAGGGTCCTTAAAAATGATTCATATAAATAAGGGTTTAAAAAAACATGCATCTTTTCTTTAAAATACATAAGAACACACCAAACTCAACGCACCAAATTTGAACCCTGCTGATGCTCGAACCAAACTGAACCCAAACCCTGCTGATGATCAAACCAAAACACAAATTTCAAGGGGGTTTGCATGCTGGCTATACTGGTTGACACCCAGTATTATTGCTTAATAATTATATTTGCATTTTTTTAAATCGACTATTAACTATTAAAGTATGTGCGGACAGTGTTGTGGTAGTTGACAGTTGAGTCCCAGTAGTTAAGTTGGCTACCGTTTAGTTTAAATTTGACAAACTGTCTGTCAAACGCAAGGAGTGGTGCTGTTACGGGTAACCATTGTCCCGCTTAGCCAAAAATAACTGAAATTAATACTTACAATGGATTTTTGCGGTTTATTTTAATCAGTTCATCTTAAAAAAATTCTTTACAAATCTTCATTTTAAACCACAAACACATGCATGTGGAAAATTAATAGGGCAGGTATAAATCGCCGGATGTTTATTTCGCTACCATGGTTTAGCTACCAATGTACCTGGTCTGGAATAAGAGGTTATTTACAAAAAATTGAAGCATTTGTATTTTTAAAACAAAAATATTTTATAATTATTTTTAAAAAATATGCAACATTTCAATGAACTTTGAAACATAAGTTTTGATTACAGACAGTCCTTTTAATTTCCAAAGTTTTACATACACAACAGAATATATCTTTTGCTCTTTACTATATTAAGTTAGTTTTACACATTGAATTAAAGATCTGAAAGTGAAAGAAAATGAAATAAGTAGGCAAAGGGCCTGGGCTAATATAAACAAATAATGGATGATGTGCATATGTTGTTTATGAATACTTCTTTAAAACGAAAGTGTCATGTGGATCTTTGGAATGCATCTCCTAAAATAGTTAAGATTTCAAATTTAACACAGGTACACTGAATAGACTAGTCATTCATAATCATATAATCGAAGTTGAAGTTGCAACTATTCGCCGGCGTTATTCAAAGTTATTCGGACCCGCTACCAGTACCAGAACTTTGAAGTGAGAGGTTGGGATTAAAAAAATATTTCAAATATTATTGTTGGGTATCGAATGAAAGATAATTGAATGAACTATATGTGTGTAAACTTAATTCTTCAGTTAAACTAAAATAAGCTACCTCAAATGACATCCCAATTGCCAATAGCATTTAGTTAAAATGGATCCGGACATGCATCCCCTTATAAGCCTTATTCAGCGGACATGCATCGCCGCTATTCAGCTATTCGGACATGGGTCCCTTTAGATTAGACTAAATGCTAATCGGATGTCATTCGTGGAAGTTTATTTTATGTTAAACTGAAGAATTAAGTTTATAAACATATAGTCCATTCAATTATCTTTCAATTGATACTGATACCAAATTTTGTCGTACAAACCCCTACAATATAATATTTTTTAATAAACCCAACCTCTCACTTCTGATAATAGTGATACCGGTCCGAAAAGCTGCAGCCTTATATAATACTATATTACACTACATAATAATATTATACTTATACTATGACTCATACTAGTCATACTTATAGTATGTCTTAAGAAGCCTGGTCGGGATGAAATTAATTTTGAAAAAATATAGACCAGTATCTAACTTATCATTTTTATCTAAATAAAGTCATTGAATTTGAAAAACTAGTTCTAAAACAACTTTTTGCTTACTTAAACAACCACTCTATTCTCAGCCCTAATCAGTCGGCTTATAAACCTTTCCATAGCACTGTGACAGCTCTCTTGAGAGTCACCAATGACCTCTTGTTTGCATTAGACAGCGGTGATATCTCCATTCTGATCCTCTTAGACCTCAGTCTCAGTGCGGCCTTTGACACTGGTGACCATTAAAACCCTTGAAAAAAACCCTTGAAAATTACTTTGGAATTCCCGGTTCAGTTTTGGCTTGGTTTAGGTCCTACCTCTCCGATAGAACGCAGCCGGTCGCTGTCGATGGCTGTCTCTCCGGCAGTGCTGACTTGGTTTACAGAGTGCCACAGGGGTCCGTTTTGGGCCCATGTCTATTCACAATGTATACCAGGCCACTGCTCCTCTTGCTCGGGAGGCATGCTGTGGAGAGCCAGTCATTCGCAGATGACACGCAACTATACAAGCATACTGATCCCTCTCTTCTCGACTCCGCTGTCCAGACTTTGCGGGAGAGTTTTGATGATGTCAAGACATGGATGGCACTCTGCAAGTTGAAGCTAATCGATGACAAAACGGAAGCACTCCTTATTCACGATGACAAATCATCCTCTAACTCAGCTCTCCCCACTTCATTTCAAGGCGGTAACTCTGACATACAGTTTACATCCTTCGCTAGGAATCTTGGTTATATTCTGTCTCACAACATGTCACTCGATAATCATATCTCTCACAATTGTCGCTCTGCATACACTGCTATCCATCAGATCAGTTCCATCCGCCACTACCTCACAGTTAGCGCAACAAAAACCGCAGTCTGTGCTCTTTTTATCTCTCATTGTAACTCTTGTATCAGGTTCACTAAAACACTTCATTGAAAAATTACAAAAGGTTCAAAATTCAGCTGTAAGGTTAATTGTAAAGGCAAAAAAAACGTGATCATGTCACAACACTTCATTGGCTCCCTGTATTACAAGCACAGATTGACTACAAACTCTCTGTTGTCTGCCACAACTTTTTCTTGAATTCCTACCCTTCCTGTCTAACCAAACTTCTCTATGTCTATTCACCCCTTCGACAACTTTGCTCCTCCGCAGACTTGTGTACCGTATTCTTTCTGTCCCCAAGACTCGCACAAAAATATACAGTAAACAATCTTTCTCTTTCTGTGCCCCCAAACAATGGAATATTCTCTTCCACTACACATTCGCAATATACCGACCATCATAGCCTTCAAAACTGCACTCAAAACACATCTCTTTAAACTCTACTATCCTGACTGATTCCCCCCCCCCCCCCCCCCCCCCCCCCTATTTGATCACGTTTTCGGATTTCAAAACACACAGTCACACAGAGCCCTTGTAAAACTTTTTTCTGACCCTTTCTCTTTTAAAATGGAAGATGCCACCCCCCCTCCCCCTTCCGACCAATAAACGATTCTGCTGGCTAGCCGTCCATGGCTGGACATGTAAATAGTTCTTGAATGTGTGGAGTGATTATAAATTTGTTTTGTTTTATTCAATTAATGTATTTAATTTTTAAGTTCATGATTATGTTTGTTAAATTTTACGTACAGCGTGGTGAGCCCAGCCCTAGGCTGGGGTGCCGCACTATATAAAAACACCAATAATAATAATAATATAGTATATAGTATTATATAGTCATACTCAATCAATATCATCATACTCGTACTCAACTTCATAGATAGTAACTCAAAGTCAAAGTAATCATTAGTCATAGTATAAGTAAAAGTATATTCTATAGTCATAAATACTGATCACTCATAATCATAATAATAATAATGTTATTATTATTATTATATTGAGACCTAATGAATTTATTATAGTGCCTAAACTAAATAATAAACATTTGTCTATGCCTATTCTATAGTATATTCCTCATTATTTTTAAAAATTTAATTTATTTAGTTTATCCAAAATATTGCTATTTCATAATTTAAAAGTATTTCATTTATGTTAACAAATATATATTGTATATTTAGGTAATCATACAATTTTGGTGCACAAATTTACATGTAATTCTAATGTAAAAGTATATAATCTTATAATATGACTATTTTTAAGCACTTTTCATTATTTAAGCATAAGACAGTACAAAAGTCATCAGCAAAAAAGATAATTGTCAACAAGCAAAGCATGTCATTATTCTTGAACTTGATAATTTGTTCAAAAAAATAAAGTTATGGATTTTTGATGGAACATTTCCTTGAGGTTCCAAACTGGCACATTTCTGTATCAGATATTTCCAGCAATTGGTCCGGCAGGTTGTACTTGTCATTTGACTGACACATTCTGACAATGCCATTTGGATTGACAGTGGTTGTCGGAGCATGTGGCTACAGTCTTCTAGCCATTTATACTTTATACATTGGAAATTATTTAAATTTACAGTAAAAATTTTAATTAAAGTGTAGGCCTACCTTCAAACTAGACAATCTGTATTTCCACAATGTTCATTACATATCACACATTTGAATGTATTGAATGTAAGTTGGACGATTACCTATACCAGTATTTATTTAAAATAGGCTTACCGTAATCTATCAGAGGCATAATATATAATATAAGTATTTAATAGGCCTAGCCTAGTTGTACTACTCTTACTTAGTATTTAGACTTTTGCTTTTATACTTACTTAGGACCACTGCCCACTTTTTGTAGTTGTAGGCTTACTACTAATAGCATACTACTGTTGGTTGTCCTTTGCATGTGAGATGACCAAGGCAAGTTTCGACTCGAGTTGAGCTGTATTTTGTGAGGGATAGTTGCTCAATTCATCAGCCTCACTCTCTCATCCTTTCCAATTGGATCCAATAGCACTTTGTCAAGACTGGAAATAGACCATGATGCAGTAGATGACCAGCAGTGTGTGTGTGTGTTTTACTGTGCTCTTTAACTTTATGTGTTCTACGTTGAAGGAGTTGTTGGAATTTTCATTGTCTCATTGTCATAATGCCTACGGGACTCCATCTCCGGGTTTGATTTCAGAGTTTGCCTTCTCTTAAATGAGTTGCCGCCCAAGGTTAACGAGTCTCATGCACTTGGGGTGCTGGTGATGTTTTTGCTTGTCTAAGCATTTTCTGGGGATTGAACTCCAGTTCACAAGCTTGGAATTTACTCAGTTTAGACAGCTATTATTATCACTCTATTTTCAGTCACTTGTGACTAACGCCTGTTAGTTACGGAACAGACTTCTTTCTTCAATTTTTAAAAAGTTTAATAGTATCTTACTGACCCAGACTTACGCCTTAAAATTTGTGGCCATGCCCATAGTCTTATAAAATAAAATATTATTGTTGAAAATAATAATAAGGATGCCGTTTTCTATTTACAATAATTAAATATTTCATTCAACTTGACTTCATATCATAAATTATAAAACTATTAAACATATGTTTATTTTTACAGGGGTATGTATGGTTATATTTTGACATACTCATGTGTCTTAATTTCTAATAAATATAATTCTTGACATTATCATGTTATTATTGTTAGATAAGCATATAGCCAACTTATTTATTTTTAAATTTCATTTTTTTAGGCACCATCATATCAACATAATTATCACAAAAATGATGTGCATCATTCATTTTTGCAATCAGAACCTGCATTAGAATTAGATAATCTGATTTCGGGATCTGGAAAGGGGCAAGGCCCTAAAAGTAAAGATAACTCTGCCACTTACCTGAGTTCTAAGGAAGAAGAAGTGGAGAGTAATTTATCAACATTGAATTTACCTAAAAATTATGAGCCAGCTAAAGAACATGTAAGTTATTGGCCTGACCTTAACCAAAGACATGTTACACATACTCATACTGGTCAGTCAGAAATGGATCACCAAAGCCAAGACTTGTTACAGTTCCATTCCTTAAATTCACAACAAAATCCTTCCCATTCTTTGATCACTTTAAATAAAAGTATCTGTCCAGACTGTGCGGCTGGAAAGTCTGTAAGTAAAAGTTCATTTTCCACTAAATAAACATATTTAAAACCCAATAAATACAAATTTATTTCTTTTAAAAATGTAACGTAAAGACTTGTAAAATATTAAATTTGAGATACGGTAATAAATTATTAACATCTCACACAAGGTTCATGAAAGAAAATTATGTATGTTTGACACTCTTGAGTATTATGTCATATTACTCTCATCTTTATAGATAACTACATATTAAAACAATGCTAACTAAATTAAAATGATAATATGTAAATAAAAGTAAAAGCTCTTTTTAATAAAAATAAATGAAAATGTATTGATTTAAATATCATATATTCTTATTTTTTTATAAATACAGGGCCATATTCGACATATTGGACGATGGCGAATGATAGATTCTTCACAATGATTAATCTTTTTTATTACAAAGCCCTTATTTTTTAAAATTTTATTTATTATGACAGCATGTAAATATTATTTTAATTTAATTTTTAATCGTTTTTTCTTATTTTAATTAATTGTTTATGTCTCTTTATGATGGCAAAGGGAATCTCTTGTGTTAGTATTATTACCCAATATATCAAATTTTTTACCATTTCAGTTGTCTATCCACAAAAGCAGTGTAGTGCAGTGTTATTTTTGTAAAATTCTACTTTCCCCTATAAATATTTTTTTGTACAATGTTAACAATGCCATTTATTATGCACTACTTTGTTGTCAGCTTTTGAGTCAATACTTGAAGAGATCAGCTTTTGATAATGGCCTTGGGCTCACCAATGTCACAACACAAGTCAATTCTTGTCACAACACAGGTCAATTCAACAACTTATCTTTCATGTCAGTAGTCTCACTTTTAATGCTGACACTGTCAGTGACAGTCGAAGGCTTATTTCCTTCAAATGGTTATAAAAAAAATATTACATTTTGTTCCCTATCCCCCAGACAAAAGCTCTGTAATTGTGATAAATAATGAATTATCAAATAACATAATTATAAATAATGTCAGTGTACATTTTTCAAGCACTTAATTAGTACATTGTAAATATTTTTCAGTTGATTAATCAGATAAATGTAATTGTCCAATTTGCTTATATTCCCACACTAGTAGAAACACAGGCCCACATGCATTGTCAATTGAGTTTCACCACTTAATCCCTCTTCTACAGACATGATGGTAGCTGTCCTCGTTGTCAGCAATAGTTTATATCTCTCCAATCTTGACTCTAGCATTCAATGTTTCCCAGACTTGGGGTTTATACTTATATTGCTAGTAAAACTACATTGGTGACATATATTTTATTTTTTTCTGGCAATTTTTTACGGCTGAGAAATGTATAATTCAAGATTATATTAAAATGTGCTTGCAAGATTGTTAAGCACTACTTTAACTTCAATGTTGTTTTAAATAACTGAACTTTTTAAAGATTGATATACTTAAATAAGTTGTGTTACAAAATATGTGCAATTCTTTGATATAATGATGGAATCTTAAGTTTATACATTATGTATATTACGGTACTTAAATACATTTATGCCTGTATTGAATTTTTTATTGTTTCTAAAACCACTTAAATCTAAGATTAATAAAAACAAAATTTCATTATTTAATGACTTCTATTTTTTTAAATATTGCATTTTTCCATCTTTACTTTTCTGCTGGTACCAGTGCACGATTGTTCATTTGAAATATAATTATTATGTAAATTACTGTAGATTAGTGATAATAAATTAAATACTGTATGACTATTATAAAATCCATATTTTTTTATGTGTAAGACTAAGACTTACCCTTTATTCCAACCATAGTTCTGTTTTATAAAATTTAAAGATTAAAATCAGGCTTTTTTCATAATTTCTAATTAAAAAGCCTTGTGTAATAAATAAATGTCTAATTAGACGACTGTAAATGGTATCCAAGTGAATCCTGTTCTCTTTTTCGAATAAAATTTAAAACAACAAATACAATACTTTTAATTTAACAAATCACATTTTTTATTCAAAATTTTTAAAAAATCAAAACAGACCAAGCTATTATAAATGCAAAAGCATATTTCATTGTAATAAAAATGCTAATCAGTGATTAAATTGGTATAGGCCAGTGGTTGGCAACCATTGACAATATTAAATAATATTTAAACAATCTGCCCCTGCCTTGGGCTCCCAAAATATTTTCTTAACAGATATAATTTATAAAAATGGCTCTACACTAAAAACAGGGGGTCGGCCACTTTTCTAGGCATTCCCATTTCCAAGGGAGACAAGCACACCAAAGGTGTTGTAATGGCTGATGAATGACTAAAAACCGATGTTATCTGAAGGGCAAAACAATGAACAAATAAAATAAATGTTACTTAAACAGATGCAGAAAAGATCTAACTTGGAGATGAGTCACTATCAAAGAAATAGTAACTGCCTACTACTACCACTAGAAAAGTGTACTTATGTAATTTTTACAAACTTGACTACAGTCCACCATAATACCTTTCCCAGGAACTTCAAATCATTCCTGCCGATTTGCACCCTAACATCTCCCACAAGCTACTTCCTGCCAAATTAGTTTAGGCCCTTTACTCACCATGGCTGTAGCACAGGGGTCTCAAACTCAAATCACCAGGGGCCGCAGGAGGCAGAGTCTGAGTGAGACTGGGCCGCATCAAATATTACACAAATTCAATAAAGTAAAACTGTTACAATTTGCTCAACCTTTAGTAATAACAAATAAAAATATTAAGGGTTCTCAAGAACTAGGCTTCACTTTCTTCCTCCAAATGCTTATTGCCAGAGACCTGACAGCGCAAGTGACCAAGCTGACATGTTCGGAATTTCCCTCACTCGTAAACATTAGCGGGAATTTTAGTAGGGATTTTTTTATACTGTGTCAGATTGTTAAGATTTACACAATTATGGTTGTGCATTACCCACTAATTGACATGTTAAAATTTTGAAAGATGTATATATAATATTCGAAGCGCGTTTTCTCAAAACCTCGGCCATGTTTGTCACATAAAATGCTACAAATTAAAAACGTTTAGTCTGATTTTAAAAGGGTTTTTACCATTAACATCAAAGTCCAAATCTATACAATACAAACATAATAAAAATCAGAATTAGACTAGTTGGTGAGGTTCTAATGAAAACGTCGCGGAGGGTCACATTATAGATATGAGAATGGGAAAAACGCGCGAGCCGCATTAACATTAAACTTTGCTGTCATGTCGCGGGCCGCAAAATATCGTCTAGTTGACCGCAAATGGCCCACGCCACAAGTTTGAGACCCCTGCTGTAGTATTCCCATGGAGGGTGCTTAGCAACCTAGATCCCATACAGCACAACTACTAAAGTTTGATGCTATTCTTGCAAGGACATACTCTTTTTAGAAAATAACATGTATGCTTCTTTGAGAGATGTCTAAAGTAGCTGGGCTGAACTGGGTTAAAATGTGTGACCACCGTTGATCCAGAAACAATTTCAAACTAATTTTTATAGCACTGTGCCAAATCTTTCAAACTATTTATAGATTCAGCAAATTCCTCTGGCTCTAACCCAGCATCTATGAAGTGCTGATGCCGAGCTAAATTAAATTTTGATACAGTACTTTCTAAGCTGTCAATATAGCATCGAATTTCAGCATTGGACTGTAGTGATGTCACAATTGGTGCTGTTTCAACACCTGTTATAACAAAAATTAATTATGAGTTTTATTTATGTACAAAATAATAATATATCATTATTAACTATTTTCATAAGTTTAAATTTAGGCAAACATTTATTCATAAACAAAATTAATTAATTTTCTGTTGGCTGTACAGTAATTTCATTTGTTGTACCGGTATCTGTTTAAGTCCACAACTTTCCAAGTATTGTTCATTTAGAATGTGTTTTTTTTTTAAAGTCTGGACTCACACTAGCCCTGTCTGTTAATTTCTCTATTCAATCATTATTCAGTCAGCCATTATGACACAGGAGGGAGAAGAGGGCTTTTTAGGTATGACATTAATTCCACCCCACACAGCTTCCCAAATATCTTTTACAATTTATAACATTAACATAATTAAAATGTGTCATAACATAAACCACTTACCACTGAATGGAAATCTATTTGAGTCTGTTATTAAACCCTGATAGTTGACATATGGGGCAAAGATGTGTGGAAATGGTGCACCAACATTTATCCCATCTCTCAAAACAAATCCAGCACTGAGAAAAATGAACTCCAAATTAGAACAGTAAAAAAAGAATTTGCTACCCCACACTGCTACCCACCAAAAAGGCTAATAAAAACTCACACTCCTACCCACCAAAAAGGCTAACAAAAACTGACTTCTCGAGGAACACTTTTTTTTCTCCAATACAAAAAAACAAATCTACTGACACTGAGGTTTAAATAAAATGAGGCCTGCACAACTCAGAATGTAAGGCGGGCCATAATACTTTATGAAAAACTTGTACGGGCCGTAATACTTTATTAAAAGCTTTTGTGCGGGCCAAAAAAAAAAAGGACAGGACTTGTGCGGGCCAAAAGAAAATAGGACAGGACTTGTGCGGGCAAAAAGAGAATTGGACGAGGGGGATGCTATTAAGAAAATAATAAGAATAAAGAATATTTACCGGGCCACAAAGTGAGTGCTGGCATGCGGCACGTGGGCCGTATGTTGTGCAGGCCTGGTTTAAATAATTGTCAAAATAGTTCAATTAACTCATTGCTGATGGCAGTGATATTTCAGTACCCTACTTAATTTATAGTCCTGAGCAAAAGGGAAGCAACTCCCTTTTGCCATTTATTTACATTTCCTAAAATATTTTTTAGCTGCTAAATATTAATTACTATTAATGAATTATAGACTAATAAATCCAAAAATGGATTAGGTTTAATAAAAATATAACATTGACAGCAAATAAATAACACGCAATGACTAAAAAATCGATTTTTGGCACCTTGGATGATAATGTGCTAGATATAGACATGCTGTACTAAAGCACACACAGATTGAAAGTAAATGAAAGTGAAACAACATAAAAACTTCAGTTTTTTAAAATCACGCCATAACAGCAAGTCTCGAGGGATACTATTTTTAAATAAAAACGAGAGAGGTGTGATGCAATGCGTCAGAGCTCCCCAAGGACGTATTTAGTCGCAACCGTCGGGTATGAATTATCATATATATTGTATGGTGATTACGTGAGATGACCATACTGATTTGAGCTTACCTAATATTATAATGTCTTTTGTCTACTTCAATTATGTCCAACAATTTCAATATTATTAATACCTTGCCAAACCCTAAGATTTGACTGTTGGAGCTCTTATTACTCTTAGATTCTGGACATCGATACCGGGTACCAGTATTTTGCTGATTTAGGTGAGTTTAAACTTTCATTTTAAGTTATTACAATTTATTTCCCTACGCATTTAATTTGTATAAATTTCAAGGATAAAAGGGTTCATTACATTGTTAGTTAAGTTTAACAAATCTTTATTGCTTTTCATTCACAGCATAGGGCAAAGTCACCCCAAGGACTGAAACATTGATTTTTATTGATTTCTGTTGTTTTTTTTCCAGATCATCATGCCAAGACTTAACAAGAGAATGCCTATTAACATTAGCAATAGAGACTGTCCTGAAGACACTAAGCTTAATGATAATGATGAATTGTTAGAGTTAATCTACCACTAGGCCTATAGAAGTCATCTAAAAGTGAAAGACACCACTGATTTGAGAACTCTTGGAACTTAGTAAATGTTAATGTAGCCACAAGAAAACAACTGGAGGACAATCTCTCTGTCTGGAGCATTACAGTAAACTTAGTAAAGCACCAACAAACATGATTCGATTTAGGAATACCTCAACTAGAAAAAATTGACATTGGGCCTAAATTTTTTTTATTATTGACCAATGGTGACGAAGGTGAAATTGTGGTGAAACGATTCTAGGATAAAAAACCCTGAGATGACTGGGTGAATGGATTTTGTAAAATGAGATCAGGATGTTGTTTACCAAAGATATAATAAGCTGAGGTAATTGGAAAGACATTACAGTTAGTCTACTATGACAAATTCATAATTTAAATGACAAAACCTATGATTTTAATGAAAGTTTACCTCGAAAGAAAAGTCTACTATGACAAATTCATAATTTAAATGAAAAAACTTATGATGGTTTGCCTCAAAAGAAAAAAGATCACCTAGAATCATTTTTGAAGTGAACTGGTGTTATTATTTTAACCCTACCTTTCATTACAATACAATATTATGATCAATTGTAAATATAGAAAAGAGAATGACCTTATTTGTTTGTATTTATAATTTCTACATGCATTGTGCTGTCTTTTAATTTAAAAGTCCAAAGTCAACCCATTTTTCCATGGATTGAAAAATCTCTAAAAACCTTAATTATCAAATTAACCTGATAAAACTATGACTTAATTGAACTATAACAACAATATGCAGGTATTCACTCTGTGCATTAGCATTTTTGTGTTAGTTTTTAGATAAGTTAATGTGAAAATTATTCATAAAGGCAAAATATAAGCAATGCCACCCCGTTACACAGTACTACATAATACTTAAATAAAAATAAATATTATTTACTTTTGAGTATCTGGATACATCTCTGAGAGGTACTGCTTAATAATATCATGAACACTTGTGCTAGGGGAAAAATGCAAGGCTGATCCACGGTGCTGGGATTCACTGTAAAAAAAAGTGCTATGTAATTCATTTTGTTATTTTTGCATGAGAATGAAAGCAAGTTGTAGCTATCGTATCATCAAACTAGATTACATGCATAGCTATAGTAAAAGTTAAAATTCAGTTTTTTAGAGAAAATGAACTAAAATACTCTAAATACTCTATGACTCTATGCAACAAAATGGATAGAGAAATAAGGAAGGATCTGATGTTTTTTTCCAGCATACCTCTTCTGCATTCGAGGGGAAATTCCACGAACAACACAAGACTGAAACCAAGGGTTTGATGAATTCTTCACATGTGGGGTTACAGAACACCATGGCTGGCTACCTTTATGTTCAATAAGAGATTCAGCAAAAGAACTTCCAGTTTGAATGTGATATGGAAGGCTGGTATAAAGTGCAGACACCTTAAAAAAAAAATTAACACGTGAGAGTAAAAAGTATTTTTTTTAAATGAATCTTAATGTAATTTCTTTTAAATAATATCAGTTTTTTTTTTTAATTATATAAAAATGTACATCATTTTCAATAAAACCATTCAACATGAAATTTATGAAATACCCAAAAACTTAAAAAATCATTTATAAATCTCAAATATAGTATATGTAGAACCACAATTTAAGACAAAGATGATTTTAAAAAAGTCTCAAATATAATAATAATGTGCTGCCTTTATTTTAAATAATTTGTAATTACTTTTCTACCAATCATGCTAAATGAAGATGTCAGATCACTGATGCGCCCAGGTTCTTTTTCTTTTCTATACGGCATTGTGGTTGTGTCTAAACTTGCAGCTAAAATGGCACTTGTATGGTAATCTAAATGAGCCTGTTGGAAGAAAACAATCTTAATAATAAAAAATATATAATCTTTAAAAACAAAGACTCAAAAAAACATTTAATTTTTATCATTAAATTTGTTACACAGAAAAATATGAAAATAAAGCACTTTGTTACAATTGAGTCAAGCAATATATGTTGCAGAAGAATGAACATTTTGTTTCTTATTTACCATTAAGAGCTCTGTGGTATGTCTTACTTCAAAATGACAATAAATCATCTGAGTGTTAGTACTGAAAACTTCATTAGCTAACGGTCTTCAGCATTTAAAATTAAAGGCCTTAAGAAGTTTGACTAATGGTACTTTAAAAAAAAAAAACAATATTAAATGGTTAAGTTTAAATTGTTAAAATACAGACGCTGTTAAAAAGCATTGTGCTTCTTAAAATTGGTCATTACTTATTTTTCTGTTCTTGAGCTAACATAATTGTATTTCCTCATTTTCAATGGAAATACGAAACATTATCATTAATTAAATCATCAATAACTGGCTCTAGTTTTCTGAGAAAATTTGTAAAACAAGCTCAGCTCAAAAGATAAGCATCTTACTTTATACTGCAGATGTGGAAATTTACAGGGTGCGCCAACAGCTTTCCAGAGTGTTGAAGCCAGTGAAAGTGGAATGTACAATGAGCTAGACTCAGAGCAATCACAAAGACTAAGTGCACTGTTCAAAAGTCTAGCAGATCTCTCTGCTGCATTCTGAAAATAAGAGTGCACATCTATTCAAATTCCATTGCTATCATTTTATACTTATTCCACAAGACAAGCTGCTACAAATTGTTAACAGAAAGTAAGTTGTCCCAAAAACTTGAATCGCCAAATTACTTTTCAAATATATTTAAAGGGAATTAACGGTACCGGTATATATCTGGAGTCACTATAAATTGATTTGCTTTAAAATTCCAAAATACAAATATATTTATAAATGAATACCTTGTCTGGTGGTTGTGCTGGAGTCACTGCAAAGCTCAGCCTTGATTTGCTTGAATATTCGTCAGATAAATATGATAATATTGATGAGGCCAAACCTCCAAATGCATTGTGACTATCAAGCAGAATGTGAAAACCCTAATTAAAAAAACAGGACAAATAAAGTCAATTAATAAATCTCATTTTAGTCATTTGTAATCAAATAGTACTGCCAACAATTGAACAAACAGTTATCTTATACCAATACCAGTGAACTTTTTCAGTATCCTTAGTATCTAAAACTATACACAGATGTTACAATGGCATCCACCCACTTAGGCGTTACAAACTTTTATAGTGTCCTTGACACCAATCACACTGAGCAATTTATTTTTCCAGTAATTATAATTCTTTCTTTGATTGTTAAAAAAAAATTTCTCATAACTACTGATTGATTATTGACAAACAATGTTCAGTTCACATATCATGTGTTAGCTGTATTTTATTGTTGAGTAAAAGACAGAGTTAGCATGTATTAAGATATTTTATTTAAGGCACATGTGTCAAACTCAAGGCCCGCGGGCCACATCCGGCCCGCCGTACAATTATATCAGGCCCGCGCGGTCTTGAATGGCGTACAATTATATCCAAGTCAACGCCATGGTGTTTCCAATGCACACTTTGATTAAAAACTTAGCTTACCTCGCACCGAGTTCGCATGGCGCTTTAGTGACTTTGAAGCACAGAAATGTAATTTTGAGCTGTTTCGTAACCCATTTGTCATAGAAGTGGAAACTGCACCTGTAAATTTTTAGATGGAGCTAAACAGAGCTGCTGTGTAATGGTACACTAAAGGCAAAGTATGACACAGTGGGGCCTGCACAGTTCACTCATTTCATTCCTGAAGAGATGCCCCAGCTTCGTCTACGTGCGGCTCAAACTTTGAGCATGTTGGGTAGCACATATATGTGTGAGCAGTTGTTTTCCGTGATGAAGAATAACAAAATATCATACAGGAGTCGTCTCACTGATCAACACTTGCAGTCCATCATGAGAATCTCAATGACACAGAACGTTACTCCCAACATGAACGAGCTTCCTCGTTTTTGTAGCCAAGAAAATGTGTACCAAGTATGCCAATGATTTTTAATTATTAAAACTTTTTTCTGTTTTCATTTATATAATGTTTTTTTTTAAATATTAATTTTCCGCTTCTTGAATGTTTATCCTGTTCGGCCCGCAACCTTACATGTAATTTGAGTTTTGGCCCGCTGAGCAATTGAGTTTGACACCCCTGATTTTAAGGATAGGAGATACATAAAAAAGGAATTCACTACCTGCAACTGATCACATTCTTCTGTGAAATAGCGGACTCTGTCCTCAATTTCATCCCACTGTTCTCTGTCTCGACTTACTTGCTGGCCCAGACCAAAAATGTTAAATGGTGTTTCTGGGCTGGAAGAGGATATTTGTGGTCTTTTAATAGTTTTTTTTTTTAAATTACTGGTATTGTATGGAAATTACACCAACAATAAGTTAAGTTATACATATATATTTGTATAATATATATATTATGTCCATTATATCTTTATGTAATAAAAGTCAAAGCATGTATCCTAGAATTTAAAATTACACATACTTATTGTGTTGATGATCTTTCAAAAGAAAAATAGAACGGGGATGTAGAGCTGTATGCATGTAATCAGACCATACATGTACATCATTATCAAGATTGTAGTACTTCTTTCCAAACACTGGATCTTCTACTTTCACAGCTGAGCATTCTTGTCTGGTCTCTAAATTAAGGAAGAAAAAAAATAATTTCCTATTAAAATTGTAACAATTTTAAAATGTTATTAACTTAAGCCCAATTGATCCTTTTAAAATGTTGTACTGCGCTCACAAAAATATACTAATTTTTCATTCTCAATGTACAATGTACCGGTATTAAAAAAATTGTGAGTGAATCAAGTGTATGCTGAAACTCTATGTAAGACATTGAATGTACTTTGGAAAAAAAAAAAAGCCAGACTAATTTCACGTCTTATCTGACGTTATCAATATTGCCTCAGATAATCAGATACATAATTGAAACTGAGCAGTTCAGCTTTTTCTTTTCTATTTTTTTTTTTTTAAAAATATACTAATTTTTCATTCTTAATGTACAATGTACCGGTATTAAAAAAATTGTGAGTGAATCAAGTGTATGCTGAAACTCTATGTAAGAAATTGAATGTACTTTGGAAAAAAAAAAAAGCCAGACTAATTTCACGTCTTATCTGACGTTATCAATATTGCCTCAGATAATCAGATACAGAATTGAAACTGAGCAGTTCAGATTTTTCTCTTCTATTTTTTTTTTTTACAATGATTGCAAACAGCAATGTGAGGACCATCCACTTCATAAAGTTACTGTGCATGGTGGCTCATGGAGCTACAACATCTAGTGGAATGGTTGTTCATTTTCCAAGCACTTTTTGTTCATGAGACCATGTAACAGGGACCTTTTATTATGTTCAATAGCAAACTGATCAACTTAATTCAAAGTCTTAAATTTACTAATAAGAGCTTGCAAACCTTCGGACTGTTGTTACCTTACTGTTAATGCTACAACTTATCTGGAAAAACAAAACCTAAAAAGGAACTTCATTTTCTAGAGGAAAAAAAACAACTCAGGAACATAAGTTAAATATTTGGAAGTGTAAATTTACCTATTTCATCTGTTTCATCATCATCACCTTTTCTTAGTTTGTATCCATCCTCACCTCTATAGTTCTCAAATTCCTACAAAATAAAATTATAAAAAGTGCATTCACACTAATCTAAGGCCACATTAAGCATCAAAAGTCTCATAAGGACAAAATTTACTGATATTTTTTTCTTAAAATTAGTCCCCCTACTCTTTAGAGGCACCAAAATGAATATTTGCATTTTCACTTAACCAAGAAAAGAACTACTAATAATTCTTTTCCCTTTGAACCCAGAAGGTTTAAAAAAAATTATATTATTTTTAAGTCTCAAGGGTCTGGTTTAAAATAATTGAATTTACGTAGAATTGTAAAATACTTATTGTATATCCAGAACCTTCCTGGAATAGATTATTGATTTTCAGATTTGACAAATATTTTTTTATCATAAAAATCCAATGAATTATGTTACAAAAATGATATTCTATTTGCTTTAGCATCTATTTTCCCAAAAATAGCACTAAATTATGTATGCCATTTAAACTTTATTTTAAGAAATTTAAGAAAAAATATGTTTATATTGTAGCATTACTTGAACTGAACCAATTTGACATTATGCTAAAAATAAATAACATGGACTGTTGAATACAATAAACTTAGAATTTTTTTGAAAATCTTAAATAAAATACCTCATCAAGATCTTTAAGAAACTTATTTTTATTAATGCCAGGTGCTTGATGTAGAGTGACATCACCAAGCCTGAAATTTAAAAATTAACAACAAACTGAATTGATTTTTGCATACACTTCTAGATTTGTTAAGTAACAGTAGATTTAAGATAAAATTTAATTGAATAATCTATAAATTTACCCGGTACCAGATAATAAAATAACATTATGGAAATTATGCGTTTCTGGAATTCTAAATTTAAATAAATGTAGTCTAAGTCTAATCTACAATTTCAAAAGAAAACTGCTGTTTAGAATCAGTAAGTACCAATTTATGTTCTCTTCAGCTCCAAAATCATAAAGTGTGCCATCTTTCTTAAGAGTTCCCAGACTGTTATTTAGGTCAAACAGAACAAGACGAGGTGTGTATGTCACATCACCCTAATTTTAAATGAAAAAATGATTTCAATACACCACAATACCAGTTATAAAAGCTTAAGTCCTATTTTGTGCATTTTGATGTTTAGATGTGATAAAACATATGAAACAGCTGTCAGTTTCATAGTTTACTCATTAAACATGTTGTCTGGCAGCTTGTTCTACGGTATGACAGAATGAACAATAAAAAGGGTCAAACATTGAAAGAACATCCTTTTTTTCTGTTAATTAATATTACTTTTTTTTTTTAAATTGTAGAATATCAAGAATAGCATGCAGCTCATGTCCAACTGTGAAATGTTTTAAGAAATTAAACCATATGTTTAAGCTAAGATTACCAAAAAATAGAAGAATTTGACATTAGATTGCACTGATTAATCAGAATGTAATCAGCCTTTTTGATGGTTAAATCATCAGCAAGCAGTTTTTAAAATCTTTCCACGAGGTAAATCTTTAAATGTTTTAATGGAACCTTGAATATTTGTATTAAATTAATCTTTTCTAATGTGTCACTTGTTATATATTACATTGTTAATATGTCTTTCTGTGGAAAACTTTACCTTTAAAGTTTTTCCTTCTCTGTAAAGAACATCATGATTAACCTCTTTAGGGTGTTCCTCAAGAAGTTTTGAATCATAGACAAAAGTTGATTCCTAAAAATTAAAAACAGGAGAGATAACATAATATTTTAAGTTTCAAAATAGTAGAAGAAAAATATATTAAATGGACTGATCCATCATTGAAATAGGCCTGTATTCTAAATGTTTACTAACAGTGTTGCGAAAACTTTTTTTTCAGCGGCCAGGCTTATCTTTATACTTATGCTTTGTGTCTCACTAAAATTTGTATCGTTCATACGAACATATTGGTAGGACTAAACAAATAGATTTGTATTTCCAAACAGTTTTCATATATATGATAATAAAGAACCATTTACTCTTTCAAAAATTGTAGATAAATTCAACTAAAATCTGGTAAATAATTTACTGAAGAAAAGTATGATGATTTCTTTGTTAACTAAAATTTTATGTTAAGAAAAAAAAATGATAACCCTGTTCTAATTAAAACTGCTTATCTCTGACAATACACCGAAAAATTTATCAGTGGTATTCTGTTGAAGTTGCTTTTGGGTGTTGTATCAAAAGAAACTATCATAGAATCAATATTGTTTTAATTCATTGGATGAGACAGATCTTATAAAGTTTATAAATTATACATACTCTTGGATACTTGCAGCGAGAGCCAACATATTTTGATGCCGATGGCCAAAGCCAAAGCTTCTCTGTAAATCCACAATGCAGAAATGCACTGTCAAGTCATGCTATATATAGCCTTTATCCTGGCTAAAATCCTATACTCTCATATGAGCTCCAGCTATTGCACAAGCTGGAACCCAGACTCAGTCCCACGCCTATATTTCAAATAATGCCATTTTAATTGATGTAACTTTCTTTAAAAAATTTTAAAATTTCTTCAGCTGTTTTTTTTTAAAGAGTTAAATTTTTAACAATGATAAGTAAAAAGTGACCGACGGTTAAAATTTAATAAAGTAACAGTCAATTTGAGTTTGAAACACTACTTATAGTCATAGTATCATAGACTAGTCCTAGAGGGCCTAGGTCTAGACTGCCTAGATTGAATTACTAATTCAAATTCGGTTGTAAAAGTTAATTGAGTTCTTAAGTTACCTGTAAATTCCACCAGTGGGTTCCAATATAATTTGAATACTGGCCAATCTGTAGAGTAATTATTTCTCGGGCTGACATAATCTTTTTTAAGGTTGGAAGTGACAGCAAAATAAGTATTATTATATAAATTCAGCAAGTTATAGCATCGTTACCATGTTGTTGACATGATTTACGCAGCAGCGAGGATCCGTTAATGATGCCCATAAACTTAAGTATCTAAACCTAAATTTACGCCATTCATAGCTGTCACTTCAATTAAACTTCCGAGATTCAGTTTACACCATGTTTCCCTTGAAAATGCTCGGTTATTTTAATGTTATTTTGCAATAACGATTTAATAATGTGTTGGTTTATTTAAATCTTACTTCGGATGAATGCAGAACATTGCTTGATAATGAGATAATGGAGTTCAGTGGCTGTTAATATATTCTAAACTTCTTTAATAGGAATAAAAAGCAAAGAACTCATAATATAAACATTATTAAAATAATTTGCTATTTTGATTCGTAAGGCATATTTGACAATTTGGAAAATGTGGGCAATTTTTTTTTTTTCCCCCCCCCCCCCCCCCCCCCTCGAAAAAATGCACGTATGCTACATTATGAAATTCAGCATTGTTTACTTTATAAACGCACTGTAAAATTACAAACACCAAACTGTACATTGCATACACGCAAGAAAGCAGGATTCAATAAACATTTTAATTCGCATTTCTGTGGTAACTCTTTATGTTCCCATTTCAGTAACTTTAAAAAAAAAAAAATGAAACTATATAACATTTAGGGGCCATCCATAAAGCACGTCACATTCCGAAGAGGGGGGTGTTAAACAAAGTACAACAGTTTGTGACACGAGTGGGGACGGAAATCTTGTGTGATGTCACACTTTTTATTTTATCATAGGCCTACATATAAAATTTTCAATTGATCTGATAGTGATCTTTAACTTTCTGTTGTGCTGGATGCATTCTGCCAAAATGTAATTTTAAAAAAAAATTTTAATAGCTTTCAATAGCATTTTCATTTTTTTTTAAAATGTGTATATTTTTTTCAGTTCAAAAGTAGGACGTATGTTTAAAGTGGGTGGGGGGGGTTCCTGAGGTTTGTGACAGAATGTAATAGGATGTGGATAAAATTGTCAAAATATAGTATATGTCTATATTAACACGCTTTGTACGGCTCAATCAAAATCGGATCTAAAAAGCTTACTAATCCCAAATGATTGTAGTTTAAATCCTATAAGAAAAAAACATTATTTAATAATTTTAGGCTTACTTATCTAGCCCATTGAAACACCGCGCTTTATTTAAATTAGAGGCAGACGAAATTTTGTCAACGTCTCAATGAAAATGAATGGTACGTTCATACAATGCTTAAAGTATGTTAAATAAGGGCTTGTTAGATTTTTTAAATTTTATTTTAAGTTTTTTTTTTTAAATATTCTTTGTATATTTTTTTTTGTTAAGATGCAAAAGTAAATGTAGGCTTTCTAACTTATTTTTACAATCGACTTTTTTTTTTCAAATTCTAAATCTCCCCGCAGGAGCATTCACTCTTAAATTATTAGCGGTGTATCAGTTGCAGAAAGCCACTAGTATTTTTTCTCTGTAACTTTAACAAGTAAATTGTGGAGAAACACACGTTTAAAATTAGTGGAATGCTTATTAACTAAACTAGCCTCTTGAAAAAGTATAACTAGTGTATTTTATAAGAGGTTTACTTACTAATAGGACTTAGACTATCAATAGGGTCTAAAAAAATTATGGTAAATTATACATTTCTACTTCCACTAAAATATATTTTTGGTGCATTCATTTATTTTTTGTTATCTTGTTTATTTTTTAATTTTTAGGACGTTATATTTATGTCTACTCTTAAAAATAAAAGTATCGATCTAGGTTAAGTCTTTCAATTCTTAGTAAATTATTTAGGTAATGACCTTGGTAGTGTCTCTTTATTTGATGAGACTTAATATAGTTAGCACCTCTGTCTTAAAACCAGAGTTCTGCTGAGCTATAGATGAAGCAGTTCAAAATTGTTGTCAAAATGGGCGAAGATGGAACCGACCGATATGAGAAGATTGACTTTTTAGGAGAAGGACAGGTTTGTTTTTTTTGTTTTTATCACTATTGTTATCTTATATTAGAAGCCTACATAGACTTCTCTGGAGCTAACTATTTAATCTAAAAAAAGGCTTAAACATATTCACCACACGTCTAACCTAATAATGACCGAGCCGAGTCGGCGAGTGTCAGAAGTCCTGGGCCAGGACTCTAAGGCAAGGCCAAGATCATTCTTAACTTTAATTAAGTCTTAGACTTAGGTACTTGAAATTATATTTTAAATATTGTCTGACTGTCATCAAAGATATGCCATCTGCAACACTTTGAGTTTCTGTGTAGGATTCTCTCCCTTTTGTTTAGTCTTGAGTTGCAACACTAGGCTGTCAGCTGGTATTTTTAAAATTATTAATACTGTTTAATACACTTTAATATACAGAAGGAATTTTTTTAATTAACCAATTTTTGAGTGTCAGTGCCAAAGAACTTTTTTTACAAGCTGGCCCTTCAGACACCTATAACACATGGCTCTCCGGTCGAGTCTACACCTTTTCCGCCTGTCTCCGACTATTTATCAGTTGCAACAGGTAATATGCCCCCATTTATGACACAGGGACCATCTCTTGAGCTGGGTGTTACTGAGAAAGTTATCTGTATACCCATTGGTCTCTCTCATAAACATTTGAGTGATATTTAGCTTAAAAAATATTTGTAAGTACCCGGTACTTAACTGGGATGCTTATGCCTATATTTATAGGTCCTATATTTTCTAAAAATTCATATAGGTCATCTCTTTCCAGTTCAGGACCCCTAATACTATAAACCAATGGTTCACAACATTATCATCAACATAATTGTTTTGATTGTTTTCATTACTTTCCTGGTTGTTTTCATCAGTGTCACTGCTACACTGCTAGAATATCAAAATCGCTAAGGATAGCTTGAACAGTGTCACTGTCAGACATTTTAGAATTTTACGATATTACTTGCAACACAAACAAATTTCTGAGCCATCAATGGAGGGTGCCATTAGAATATCATGATGTGTTGGAGTATGTAAGAAAAATTCTGAGACTTCTTGAAGCTTATCTAGACCTAGAAGGATATCATAAAGTTGTTACATTTGCCATGAAATTAATTTACCGGCTGAAATAATTTAATTAAATTGTAATGTTTTGTTCCTAATTTGGTTTATGATCATTAAAGCTGAACATATATTTTTTTATTTGCACAGATTGTTTTGTCTAATTAGTCTACTTTAAAGCTATATCGCAGTCCAACACTCATATAAAATTAGTTTCTCAAAAAGACAAATGAAGTGTAGATGAATAAAAATGTATTAAGTAGCTTGCCACTTTTAGTTATTTATTCGTTGTCGGACATTCATTTGTTACCTCTACAGGACAGAAAGAGAAACATTTATAACCTCAATGAAGTTAAAATAATTATACGAGAATCAGTCTCGTGTTTATATCATCATCTTAATACAAGATTGATTGACTTCTTTTTGTATTTTTATCAAATAATTCACAATTTCTATATAGCTATGTCTTTTCCTATTTGATTTTTATAATGTACTTTCAGCCTATTTTCTTTCCACTTGTCTATTTTTTTCTTTTCGTTCAAGTTTTATGAATAGTAATAGGTAGGATTTAAATTTATTATGTAAAATTTAATTTACATTGATATTATTTTATTATTATGTTGAAATGCTTACACATACTGTTTTATTTACACAAATTGCTTCTTTCTCATGGAAGCACCACCTCTATTTACATTATAACAGATACTGTGTGTGACACAATTAATTTTACTTTTAACTTATGTCTAAATGATATACTGTCATTATTTAGACCTGCTTAGTTTAATTAGAATGTACATGGTAATATATATAGTATAGTACTTTTTATGATGCTACTTAATTATGTTTTTATCATGATTTTTTTAACCACCTTATATAATAATAACTAATATATTATTGTTTAAAATAAAGAACTGAAAATGTTTTTTTGTTGCAGTTTGCTACTGTTTACAAAGCTAGGGACAAAAATACGGATAAAATAGTTGCAGTTAAAAAGGTACGTAATCTATAATCATAAAACTTTAACTTAAAATAAATTAATGTCACAATTTTGTAATTTTTGAAAACAATAAGGAACATGTTTAAAGCGAGAGTAGTTAACTTCTTAAATTTGTATACTAAAAAAAAAGTTACCAATCAAATTCAGTAACCCTTCAGTGGTATTTAATTTTTAAGATTAAGCTTGGTTCAAGAACAGAAGCAGCGGACGGTATCAACAGAACGGCTCTGAGGGAGATAAAACTTTTGCAAGAGCTTTCACATACAAATTTAATTGGGGTATGAATTTTTCATTTCATTGTCTAATTTTTCAATATTCTTAGCTGTTTTTGATTTTAAAAAGTTTGTTGATTTGCAGTGAATTGTCAAAAGTTCATACAAAATTCCATGAGTGCACTGTTCTAGATTAAATGTTTTGTTATTAGAATCTCATTTTTATTTTAAATTTCCATTTAGCTGTTGGATGTTTTTGGTCACAAATCCAATGTCAGTCTTGTCTTTGATTTTATGGAAACAGACCTTGAGGTAAGATTTTTAAAAAAATAATAGTTTACTTGTACTTCTTTCAAAACTCGCAAATTAATTTTTTAATCTCATTAATTTTTCTAAGTTATAAAGTTTTAAAATGATGTGTGTAAATGAATTTAGTTATAAAGATTATACTCCTCCATTAAGTTGTTTGTCAACTAATGGGTAAACTAAAAGCAAAAAATCTTTAATACAAGAGCATAACTAAAAAAAGTTATCACTTGAGGTATTAGATTGGACAAGATTTGATTAGTTTTTATATATTATAAACAAAGTATAAGTTTATGAAAAAACATCTGAGGCAAAGTTAATGTATTACATTTGATAATCAGGACATTCACCAAATAACCACTTTCAAAGAAAAGATTTTCCTTTTAACAAAGCAAATTTGATTGCAGGTTGTCATCAGGGATTCAAATATCATCATGACTGCGCCTCATATAAAGTCCTATGTTTTACAGACCCTACTTGGCTTAGAATATTTACATTCCTACTGGGTCCTTCACAGGGTTTGTTTTATAATGCTTTCTTGACCCTGTAATTTGACAGACTTATTAATATTACAATACCTGTAGGATAATTAATATTAATAAATGTGTTTTATTATTTTAAAATTATAATGAAATGGTTGGATGAATTGCTGTAGTGTTAAGTGTTTAGAGACCAGGGCTTGACATACATGCTCATGGGATGAGATTCAAACCTTAGCCAGGGCGGTGCAGAATATTTTTGGGCCCTTGGCAAATCCAAATTTTGGGCCCCCACAAATTAGGCACAGCCCCAAATGATTTGCCTCCAGCTATATCATAAAATAATTCAAACCTTCTGAAATCCAGTCATTTCGGATGAGTGAAACTCATCAACCTGTGATGGTAAATCATTTAGGAGAAGGAAAACTTTGAATACAAACCTCAGCTTCCTAGAAACTGAATTAAAAGTGAGACGGTGATATGAACTCAATGATGTTAAGCTGTATCAGCTGTTTGATGACCCCTCCAGTCCACCAGAATCATTGAGATGGGAATTCTGCCACATTGGAAATAAAACTTTACAAAGCTTTGGAGTTTCATTAGAGAGATTACCAGCAAGTTAACACGATTATCTCTTGAAGACAGACAGATGCCAAAAACAATTAAAAATTAATTACATTTATTGGTAAATATTGTTTAATTATTACTGATGAATTTCCTAGTTTGTTTACAAATATTCTTTTCTTTTGTTCTGAATAGGATATCAAACCAAATAATTTGCTCATCAATGAACAAGGTATTCTAAAGATAGGTGATTTTGGCTTAGCGAGATTCTATGGTTCACCTAGTAGGCCCTACTCTCATCAAGTGGTTACCAGGTTAGTGTCCTTAAGATCCTTATTTTGTCTTTTTTTTTTGTGGGGGAAAGGTTGGGTTAAACTCTGGGGATGTTAAAGGCTGAAGCCTTAAAATACATGCAGTTTTCATTGTTTATCTCATCTGAATTGTAATTATTAAAACATATATGTTCAGATTGTATTATTCTGATTTTTGTAAAACTTATATTCAACAGCACAAATTTGCTAAATTTTTTTTTCTTGTTAATTTAAGATTTACAATACCAGTATGCAATACTTCCTTATATTATTTGTGGGCCTTTATTCATTTGTTAGTGTTCTTTTTTTTCTGAAAAACAATTTTCTTATTTTTTTTTTTTTACACTACAGGTGGTACAGATGCCCAGAATTGCTATTTGGGGCTAGAGCTTATGGTGAAGGAGTTGATATTTGGGCAGTTGGTTGTATTATTGCAGAACTTCTTATAAGGGTAACATAATAAATATTTGGATTTCATGACATCCTTTATGTAAACTTGGTCTTAATTCTATTTAATTTACTTAACCAGTAATAAACAATTTACCAGATCTTAACTTTTAGCTGCTCTTTGTTGATTGTGTTTATCTGACTTTTTTTGAATTTTATGTAACACTGTCTGCATTGGTAAATATCAGTGTAAGTTTGGACGTTACTTTACATTTTTCAAGTCTGTAAAAATAGATTTTAACATTTGCTTATAGATTCTATCTCTCTCCAGCTACCCTTTTTACCAGGAGACACAGATTTAGATCAACTAAGTCGCATCTTTCAAGTGTTAGGAACCCCAACAGAGGCAGACTGGCCTGTAAGTCTTTGTCTTTTACCACATAATAAAAAATGTGTTAAGTATAAGTTGAACGTCTTTTTTTTTTTTTTTTTCAAGTAAATTCAAGTTAACCTTAATAGTTGAACCTTGAAATACCTCATTGACCAAATGAGATTACATTTTCATTTACTTCAAATTTTTATAATCCTTACGTGCAGGATATGAAATTCCTACCAGATTATGTGGTTTATAAAGAGTTCCCAAAGCAACCAATTAAAGACATATTTACAGCTGCTACTGATGATTTATTAGAAGTCTTAAACTCTATGTTGTCATTGAATCCTTCCAAACGTTGTTCAGCTTCTCAGGTAAAGGTTATACAAAAAATAAATTTAACTTCTATATCAATGTGCAATTATATTGTTTCTTTTTTATTGTTGTATAAAACAAATTTCTGTAACTTATCAGTTGAAAATAAATTTCAAATTTTTTCTGAATTAAGTAAGATATTTCTGCAAGGAGTAATACTTCAGGATATGCAAATTGCACAGGCTCCTTCAGAATTAAAAAAATCTTAAATGGTTAAAAGTACCTCCATGACTTAAGTTAGTTTGAGTGGTAATAAGATTTCAGACTCTCCAACCTTGCATGATAATTTATTCGTTAGCCAAAGATTTTTTTTAAAAAATTTATCAGTTTTGAATTATTGCAATTTTCTTGACAGGCTCTGCAGATGGCCTACTTCAGCAATAAGCCTGCACCTACTCCAGGACCTCAGCTGCCATTCCCTAAGTCAAATAAAATTATTGATAAAGAAAAGGAAGCAAAGAAGCCTTCTCTGAAGCGGAAACAAGATGGGTCTGATCCAGGTACAGATCCCTTGACAATCAAAATCCGTCACAGCGATTGTTTGGGGCACGTTTCTGAAATTTCAAATTAACTATTTTTAGTAAATTTTATAAGTCCTTCTAATGATTCAGGTCTTCTTTCGCGTTTTTTAGATAGATTTTATAACTGCTTCTAATGATTCAAGTCTTCTTTTGTGTTGTTTAAAAAAAAGATGTTCGAAACTTTTTAAAAAATAATTTCAATTTTTATTTTATTACTTGTATTAATGGATTGTTCATTGGTTGTTTCTAAAGCTCAGTGTGCATTTTTTCCACTTTCAGGTGGCCTGAAGAAACGACTTATATTCTGATGTCACAACTCCATGCAGGCTTTTATGATAACTCGAAGTTAATGTCTGAACATTATTCACATTTTTCTCTCCTGATATGAGGGTGGAGTAAATGGTCTGTCTTTTTCAACAAAGAACACCTTCACCACATGCTGCAAATCCTCCCCAAAGACTTTGGGAAGGAGCATCTGTAAATATCAACTTAATGATCTGGTCTAGAATTAATCAATTGTTTTGTAAATCAATTTTTGTAAAGGCATCTCAGCTGGGCATTCAATTTGACTTCCTTTCTGGGTCAAGTTAAGTTTCATCATCTCCATCCAACAATCCTTAACGACCACCATAAAGAGAACATTAGCTGCTTTTATTTTCTCCTTGCTCTAACATTTCTCTCCCGTTACAAGCCTCACGAAAATGTTCATGCTTAGTTAAGCGCATCGTAAAAAAAATAAGCATCCTTAAAAATAACTTATTTGAGATGACAAAAAAGAAAAATTCCTTTTATGCCATTGATTTAAAAATTAAAATAAAACGTAATTTTGTAAATGTGTCGACTAAGCTAGCATGTTGATGACACCACCACCCCCCCCCCCCCTTTTGTTTTACCAATTAAAGATCTCAACATATCTGAGTTTTGAAGTGAACATGAATTCAATCGGAAGAATAGGATATAATCTTTTAAATATAGAAATTCTCCACTTGCATCCTGGAAAGGAAGTCTAACAAGTGTTAAAGCTTATCATTGATATAAGTACTGTGTACTTCCATAATGAGCCTACATTTCACCCATTGGAACCCTACCTACTTCATAAATTCATTCATCATTGCTTAATGTTATGTTTAGTTATAATATAATGTGGAGAGAACAAAAATAACCTTCCATGTGATTAAATTAGTTGTTTAAAAAAAAACCCACAAGAATAGTGAAATCAATTTAACGCTTTACAGTCTGATGCGCCCGAAGTATCAGATTTTTTCCTTATGCCTACAGTCCGTTGCGACCCAACCCGCCCGTTTCCAGGTTGTTTTGCTTTCGTTCTTAGCACAGCGGAAATCCATTGCGCATTACTATTTATAGTTCTGCCGGAAGAAAGCCTCGTTGTCGGCATTTATTTTGATACTAGTTTGACCGCAGTGTGTTTAGGGGCTGATTTTCTATGATTTTTTTTAAAGTCGCAATTTTTTCGCTGTAAAAAATGGCTATCTAAGCCTTGGATACACTTTTGAAAGAACTTAGGCCTAATGAAGATTCACTATTTCATGAGTGGGAGGGTCTCTGAAACTATTTTTAAGTTTTACTTTTGCTTTAATCATTTCTTTGTATTTAGGTATTTTTTATTTTCTTGCTTCTAGTTTATTTTCTGTAAATTAATTAGATAAAGAACCTTCATTTAAAAAATTGGGGGCTGTGGAGTAGCTAAGGCTGAATAGGCTTGGACTGTAATGGGTTAACTCCCTTTGTGTGGTTGCAAATGTTGGCTTTTGTTGGTCTGTTCAAGTACTACACTGCACCAAAGACATTGTGGACTGCCTGTTTCAGGGTAAAGGCACAGAACGGTGTTGCAGGACATATTATCAGACATGTTTACTCTAACGATTTTGGCATACAATGTATACAATTTTGGCCTACAATGTGCGATTTTGAGGTGTATACATTATATATCTTTTTTTTTTTTTTTTTTTTTGTATTAAGATAATGTATTTAATGATTTTGTGATGATATTGTACGATTTGAAGAGTTTAAGGGTAAACAGCTCTGTATTATGAACAAGCTGGGTTTCTGTTTTAATCTATAGATAAAACACCACCAAAAGTTTCTATGTCGGAATGAAGTCTTCACTACATTGTTAGCCTGTTACACAACAGCCTTTTTAAAATATAAGTTATACTTTGTGCACATTGAAGAAAGTTTTATTTTCTGTTTTGGTCACATGGAAGAAAGTTATAGTTTGTGTGTTGGTCACATGGAAGAAAGTTATAGTTTGTGTGTTGGTCACATGGAAGAAATTATTATTTTTCTGTTTTGGTCACATGGAAGAAAGTGATTGTTGTGTAATAGTATGGGCACATAGAAGAATCTCCCAAAACATTGCCTTGTTTTTGAAACGGTACTGTATTGTATGAACTATTGTTTCTTCTGAATGCTCAGTTGGTTTGTCTAAAAATAGCCTCAGTGATAACCTCAACATGGGCTGGTTAAAGGCTGTGCTGGGAATGAATGATGATTTGTCAACAACAGTTCTTCAAATAATGTTCTTTCATCATGGTTCCGTTTCCATTTCCAAAGTAGATTTCTTCTTCTTTTTTTTTTTTTTTTTTTTTTTTTTTTTGGTTTTTTTTTCTTTTCTTTATTATTTTTTTTTTTTTTTTTTTTTTTTTTTGTGTTTTTTTTTTCAAAGCATGGGTGTGATCCCGTCGTCAAATGTCACTGTTATTCAAACAGCTTGTTAGATCTCTAACTTTATGTGGCGGCTATGCTGGCCACTGGTGTAACCCACCATATCTTGATTCGAAAGGATAAGTGGGCTGTATGCATTTCTGTTAATATCTCCTTGAACATGGCGGCCACCATGTCTGGAGAAATCTCATCCGTCAAACTGTTTTTTGTAAGCTACTTGTAGAGTCTCAAGTCATGGCCCACCGAAGGACATTGCGTTTGTTTTGGGATGATTTTAGATGTGAACCGAAGCATGTTTCTTAATTGTTATAGTTGAATAAAAAGAAACTATTTTTTTCTATGAACCAACTCATTTTTATTTGTTTCGTTATTTACCTAATGGAAGATGCACACGGATGGTATTTATTTCATGTTGTTTTTTTATTTTTTTTTTTTTTTTCGTATACCGGTTTTTTTACAAAGTCCAATGACATCACTTTGGCCATAACAGGCGCAATTAGGTTGTTTATTTTTTAATTTACTTTTAACGCCTAAAAGTTAA